CTCCTCCTCTGGCTATGCACTCACTGCTCCTTTAGCAGGTGCCCTGTCAGCCTCTGCTCCTGCAGGCATTGCCTCTTTCCAGACGCACAATGCAGCAGCGATAGAGGGAAAGCAGCAACTGCCCACCCTGCTGCCTCCTCCTCTTGCCTTGGCTCGCTGCTGCTGCTTTTTCACTCCCTTCTTCCTCGGCCAGGGGAGCAGCAGCATCTGTGGCAGGGCACCCTGGAGGGTGCACTCTTCTCTCCTCCTCACTCTTGCCTTCCCAGGTCTGCCTTCTTGCTTCCCTTCAGTATGGCAAGAGCTCTCACTTGCAGCTGGCTCACCCCCGAAAGAAGGGTCCGCGTCCTGCAGCCAGTAGTAATTTTTTAAAACAAGTAGCATGAGTCTAGTGCTAGACGTATGCTGTTTCTAAACAAAGAGAGAAGGCAGCTACACACTGCCTTCTCCAGGCAGCCCACTTAAACTGGGTGGCAGGCGAGGGCACCCCAGCCAGAAAACAAACCTTGCACACTCCTAACCCTTTCCCTCCCCCAACGAGGCACCATTTTAATGTTAGGCAGAGTGGGAGGAACGACCTCAGTGTGGCTGGTGGAGGAGTGGCCTCCAACGGGGTGGGGTAAAATCCAAGGGAATGTTTCTGCTTTTAATTGCCTTAGGCTTGGAAATGAAGCAATGGGAAACATTGCTACAAAACCACTTTCAGAAAAGCTGGGGATACAGCGAATGGAAAGTGAGCTGAGAACTGAAGGGACGAAAATCAATGCAGAATGAAAAAGATGCAATGGAGATGCATGGGGAAAGTGAGGGAAACCACCAATGCATAAAAGGCCAACGTCTCAACTCGACCAATAACCTGAGATCCTCCTCCTGCTGGGAAGCTTGCTGGGTGACCTTGGGCCAGGTGCTCTCTTTGAGCCTAACCTACCTCACAGTGTTGTTGTGAGGATAAAATAAGGGGAAGCAGTGTATGCTGCTCTGAGCTCCTTAAAAGAAGGGCAGGATAAAAATGTACTGTGGTCGTATAATAAACGTGTTGAGAATTGCTGTAAACAGCTGCTCCTGATGTTGAGCTGGGGATTAACTTTATAATGCCGCCTCCATTCAATACATTAGTAATTCTGTTGGGTTATTTGAAAAACAATATGATAAGGAGACATAATGAACTGGGTGTAAATGTTTTGCATGCTTCCTTACTGTCAAATATTGGAAAAATAAACTAGTTCCCAATGCAGAAGAACAGACAGGGAAAGTTGGCCAATAAGATCAATGAATAAATTAATTCACTTTAGTCATGCCTATGCTGATAAATGTGTGTATTGTGTACTAGAAAAGGAATAAACCAAAGGAAAATGTGAGCAACAGGTATTAGCTGCAGTTTAAAGCTGAAAGGTTAATTGTGACTCTGATCCCACCAAAGCTGTGACTAAAGGCAAGGGAGTTTATTGCAAGATGGGTAGTAGATTCAGGACGGACAAAAGAAAATACTACTTTACACAGAGAGTGATTAAATTGTGGAATTCACTGCCAGAGGATGTAGTGATGGCCACAGGAATTGAAAGGGGGTTACATAGATTCACAGAGGATAAGTCTACCAATGGCTACTAGTACCCCTGGTGACTGAGGGGAACCACCACAATCAGAAGCACTAAGCCTCTGAATCCCAGAACCAGGAGGCAAAATCAAGGGAAGGCCTTGGCTTCTATGCCTTGTTGTTGGCTGGCCAGAGGAACTGGTTGGCCACTGTATGAGACTGGATGCTGGACTAGATGGATCATTGGTCTGATCCAGCAGGGTTCTTTGTATGTTCTTAAGACCCACTAATTTTTTTCCTGTTGGTTTCAACCCAACTAGTGTAACTACTTAAAAAAGTTACACCTCACAATCTAAGCCAAACATGATTCCAAAGCACTTTACTTTCACTGGATGAGGCCCTTTCTCCACCTCTGTATCTTCATATATTTATGGAGTTTCAGAAAAATTCTGTTCAGGAAACAAACATTCCAAATGCAGAGAAAAAGCTCCCCCTAGTGTGCTTAAAAGGCACACTGCATAACCTTAGGCATTCATATAAAATACTGTGTGACTTAAGTGACCAGAAACATTTTAAGTACAATTGAGAATTCAAGAGATTTGGAATCTCTTTCAAAGTTTAAGTCCTACCTCTAACTGCATGCATGTTCAGACAGTGCTCTAGTGGTATTGTTTCCAGGTGCCACTCAATCAGAGACTGCAGTCAGACACATGGGAGGACTGACAGGCGACTACCAAGAATACTTACTAGAGATTACCTTTTAATCACAGAATCAGAGTTGGAAGGGGCCATACAGACCATCTAGTCCAACCCCTGCCCAATGCAGGACCAGCCTAAAGCACCTCTGACAAATATTCGTCCAGCCTCTTCTTGAAAGCTGACAGTGAAGAGGAGCTAACTACCTCCCTAGGCAGCTGATTCCACCTTTGAACCACACTGACCGTGAAAAGCTTTTCCCTAATATCCAGCCAATATCTTTCTGCGTGTAATTTAAACCTGTTGCTTCGGGTCCTATCCTCTGCTGCCAACTGGAACAGCTCCTTGCCCTCCTCCAGATAGCCTTTCAAATCCCCCCTTTCCAATTTGATATACTCACAGATGGAAGGGATGGCAGCATGGTATAGCACGATCTTGACAGATTTTGACAGCTAAGCAGCATTGGTACTTGAATGGAAGACCACCAAGGAACACTTTGCAGATGAAGGCAATGACAAACCACCTTTGCTTCTCACCTGCCTTGTTAGGGTTGCCATAAGATGGCACTCAAGTACATATATTCACAGACACATACATTACAGAGCTGAACACTTATCTAAATGATCCTTGGAGTATATACTTCTGAAGTGGGGAGTTGTACTTGCATTAAAAATTGAGAACCAGAGGGCATTTATTCCAAGTTTTTAATACCCATTACCAAGTACACTTGAGCTGCGGTGGCTCAAGTGGTTAAGACGCTGAACTGCAGGCTGTGGAAGGTCGGTAGTTCAGCAGTTCGAGACCCAAGTGTGCCGCATGACGGAGTGAGCGCCCGTCTCTAGTTCCAGCTCTTGCCAACCTAGCAGTTCGAAAGCAAAAAATTCCAAGTAGATAAATAGGTACCACTTCAGTGGGAAGGTAACAGTGTTCCGTGCGCCTTGGTGTTTAGTCATGCTCGCCACATGACCATGGAAATGTCTTTGGACAGCGCTGGCTCTTCGGCGTTGAAACGGAGATGAGCACCACAACCCTAGAGTCGGATTCAACTGGCTTTCGAGCAAGGGAACCTTTACCTTTCAAAGTATGAATGTTCTGCCCCTTTAACTCTAGGAAATTCCCTTATGAAAGACAGAAATCAATGTAACCTTTATGTAAACAGGTACTTCCTTTGTGGTGTAACTGTACAGTGAAGCTACAGCTGTCTTCTTAGCAAATGTGTTAAGAGTTTTACATGAATATAAAATATCTCCCACTGTGACCTTCTATAAGGCAGCCTACTCCCTAAAGCTGTAAGCAATCCAGAAAATCTCCCAAAACTAGCAGGTGGGGAGAGATAACAATTAAGATACAAATATTTAAGACATGATGATGCTGGTAGTGAGCTTCATCAGTAAAACTATCTACTAGGGTTGCCAACAATCTGGAGAAAAAATGTTCTGCCCCTTTAATAGAGACTTAATGTGTGGAAATGGGCTGTTGAAGCTTTACATGGCAGTGGTAAACATCACCTGATAAATAACAGCCCTTTAAGGTTCTGTTAAATGGGTTGGGCAGTTTTTTCCTTCAGGTCAGAAACCCTCCAGCCTACAAATTCTTTGGTGTCTTACAGAACTAAAACATCCACAGCTCAACCCTATGCTGGTTCTTTTGAAAGCAAGTTGAGCATCCTCAATTGCTTAACAGGCCAAAAGCCTTCTTGTTGCTTTAAAAGGTGCTTCCAATTAACCAAGCAAGATTTTAAAAAACATTGCTGATTATTTTAATACAAACAGCAAGGGTAGTTGACAACATGGAAGAATTCCTGATTTTCTCTCACAATAGACGGCGATTTTGTTCTACTGCAGACCAACGACCTACCCACCTGAAACGCCCAAGGAAGTGCGCACATTGTTTAAAAACAAGCATTATGTATGCTTGTTTCTAGTATGCTTTCATTATTTCGAGCATTTGTATCCTGCTTTGTGACCAGTCACCAAAGCAGCTAAGGTATATATTCATAAAAGGCAACATTCAATGCACATCAAAGTAAGAAAATCCAACGGACCCACTGAAAGAGATGTCGGTGTGGGCAAAGAAGAAACCCGACCAAATGGCAAAGTCTTAAGACGCAGGAGGGCCTGTGGGGGCTTCCCCGCATGCCTGTTATGGCGGGGTGGGAAAGACGAGGTCCAAGGGAAAAAGGCAGGAGGAGTTAGTGAGCGAATTTATCGGCCAGTCAGCCGAAACCTCCACTGATTAACCGGTTAAGGAAGGTGCCTCCAATTCAGCCGCCTTTCTCAGGGGCTTTTCCGCGCAGCCACAATGGAGCTGCCCGTCGCGGGAAGCGGCCTCCTTTCAGGGCTGAGGCAAGGCAACCCCTCCTGCCAGTCACCGGGAAGCCCCGTAGCCGTCCTCTTTTTGAAGGGAATTGCCTTGAAGCTCTCGCAGAGACAGTCGAAGAACCGTTGGCGAAGAGGCTGGCGGTTACCACGGCAACCGCGGCACCCCCGAGGGCCCTGTCATGGAGAGTCACGCGCCTATCTCCAACTGCCACCGCCCGGCTTACGCCAAAAGTGGGCGGGAGAGGTTAGGCGCCACGCCCCTCGCCACCTCCCCTTCCGCGCAACGCTTCCCCCGTTCGCGTATACTATTTAGCGCTCTATTTTTTACTGCTTCTGAGCTCGGTGGGAATCCAAGATGGCGGCCCGGTATCTACAAGCAGAGTGAGGCTGCGCAGCAACACCAGTTCTCTAGCTCCGCCCAAACCCGGAAGTACGTTTTTGCTGAGGGTTGAGCAGCTAGTTCGGCCGCTCTCCGGATAGCGGGCTTTCATCCGCTGTAGGCTACAATGGCGGCAGCCGTCGAGCTGCAGGGGAAGTACCAGAAACTGGCGCAGGAATATTCTAAGGTATTGGCTCACACCACCTTCCTTCTGCATCGACGCGCCGCTCGTAGCGCTGGTTTCCTTCTCTCAAGTCATCTTCCGCTTCCACGCCGAAGGACCCTTCTTGGGGCAGTTTCCTCATATACGGAAGCCCCGCGGGGTCAGGTATCAGCAACCCGCACAGTAGCGCCAGTGCTATCTTAGCTGGTCTTCATTTTGTGCCAGCCGCGAAAGACCTCGCGTGTGGAGGTGCTTCCTTCCCAGCCAGTGTTGCCACCCAGTGGAGCATCATAGATGCCCCTTATTTGTGGGGTTAAAAAATGTATTTCTTTTCTCCACCCTTTATGGTTGAAACTTTGAGCTGTCAAACTGATCTCAGGCATGCTTTCTGCTATACTAGTATTTGTAATTACTATATGCCTGCATCACACTCTCAGCTTAGTTCTTGGTGTGATTCCTAGCAAGTGGACTAAAACATTACCCTGAAAATCAGATGCTGTCAAGCAACAGCTTGGAAACTAGTAGTTATAAAAATAAAAACAAAAAGAAGGACTCTTGCAGGGTGTGTTTTAGACAAACGTGTACTCTCTGTGAGGTTTACATGGCACCTGGAATCATCTCGGTGTCCACTGGAGGCTCCTGGACCAAACCTGGCTCCTGGGCTGTGGCTCAGTGGAAGGGCCTTTGCTTTGCATGCTGAAGGTCCTGGGTTCAATCCCTGGCATCTCTTTGCATGCACAAAGTCCCAGGTTCAATGCCTGGCATATCCAGTTAAAAGGACTAGGAGACGATAAGTGATGTGAAAGGCCTCTGCTTAGACTCTGTTGAGGTGCTGCTAGTCTGAGTAGACAATACTGACCCTGATGGACTGATGGTCTGATTCAGTATAAACTGGCTTCATGTGTGTTCTTGTGAGAGATTATACTTATCCTCCTTTCTTAATTTGATAACCCATTGGACAATGGGGACTGATGTGCTGGTGTGCCCACCGTAGTAAAAATTGTTGCTAGTTGGGGGATTGGTGCACAACTGTTCTTCAAATTTGCTCTGGTGATTAGGGGGAGGAGCTTAGCCAGTGTTTCTGTGGTCTTCCTTTGTTTCTGTTTGTGCATTTTGGGCCAGATGTACAGGATTCTGCTGTTGAGCAGTGTTTGACAACCTGTTTCACTTCTACTCAAAGGCAAGTTGATGCTTCCTATGAAGTAGAAACGTTCTGTAATAATAACTTGCCAGTTCTGATACTCCTAACAGCATTGATATATAGAGGCTTGCATTAAACTAGGAGCTTCCTCTGCTTTCAATAGTTAAAATCAGTTATTGTCTCAATTGCAGTTCCAGTACTTATTATGAGATATGTGCAAACACTGCAAGAGATATGGCTCCACTTTGAATTCTGACACCACTACCATGTCCCTGTCATTTAAACAGCTGTACAGTATTAATGCATTACATGCTGTCATATCATTCTTACTATAGACTTCTGTTAAGTGCTTTGAAAAAGAGCAAGAGCACCACACACACACATTTTGATATTAATACTTGTGTGAGATACTATCTGCTGTGAAACGTATCAGTACTGGTGCCAGTGCTCGTTCTTTGCTTGAGGGAAATGTTATATCTCTGGAAAGCTTCCCATTTGTTTGATCAAATTCCCCCTCCCTATCCCTGATACTAGCATCTCATATTAATACTTATTCTACCATATCAGTTCCTACTATGCTGTTGCTGATTTAGGTATCTGATTTCCCTTTTCTTGCTTCCCCTAAGCCAGTTATACATGTAAACCAGCATCAGAGTATAAGGCAGGATGTGTGATTGCAATTTTATATCTGCAGGGTTGCAGGTTTGCTCTTAATGTTAACTAATCTGGAGTAATTGTTGCCATTTGATTCCAAATGTCTAATCATAAATTAGAATTTATGCTTCACTTCTCAGCTGTTGAAAGGATGGAAAATCCACCTTTGGTCCCTTGCTGAACTCCTAACGTGTAAATCCAGTCATGTTAAAGAGTATTTAGGGGTACCTAATTTGCATTGCACGGCCTTGAAAATGTGTTTCTTGTTTTGTATTGATACATAAGGAGCTGGTGGTGTTTTGTACTCTTCCTTGTGTTTGTATCCCTCCCCCACCTCCATAAACCCAGCATTGCTGGACTTAAATTGGGACAAAGTGCCCCCTGTAGCCAGTGCTAGAAAGACCTCCTGACTTGAAGTTTTGTCTTTGCCCTTGATAGTGATATGACCCCTCTTGTTTCTAGTGGTAGTGTCATGAACTAAGTTACCTGTTACAATATAAGGAAGCTTTTGATTCTTCTGTCTTATACTGGCATCATAACTCACCTTTTAGCATTGCCGCTGAGCATTCTGTTGTTCTGTGTGTGAGATTGTGTCTGAGTCTAGTGTTTGAACTGGTCCTACTTTTGATGATGATGCACATTGTTTTTCACACCTCTCTGAATTCTGATTTGCGCCTTAATTTCCAGTCAGTGTCTATGTTATAGAATCATAGCAGCTGAGAGACAGAGAAAGATCAATAATGGCAGCAGTCCTAAAGTGCTTAATGAGAAGTGGCAATGCTCAAGTTGATCTAGAACTAGACTTTCTGCCTTGAGTGCCATTTATTTGAGTGCGTGGAGACTGGCTTTGGCTAGTCTGTGATGGTCATTCATCATTACAGGGGATAACTAGCTGCTTGTAGCAACATGTGGCGGTACTTTCATGGTGTTAAATTGTGCTAAGCTGTGTAGCCATGTTATTTCCTTGAACTTCATTTAGATTCTTTGTTGTATAACTGACCATTTATGATATTTTTACTCTACTGCCTTGCTATACTGACTTCAACTTAATATATTTTTTAAAAAAAAGAGGCAGGATTTTGTAGGTGACCAATTATCAGTTCGTAATCTTTATTTTTTTCCACAATTTGGTTAACAATAGATCTGTCTCTTCTTCTCTAGCTTCGAGCTCAGAATCAGGTGCTTAAAAAAGGTGTTGTGGATGAACAAGCAAACTCAGCATCTCTGAAGGTATGAAAATGAAGCAGAGTTTGATCTTGACATTGGCTCATTGGCTAGATAAGGCATTTTGGTATAGGCCAGTCCTGTGTCTGCTTGACCACAGTTCCTGACTGAGTGTGCATTCAGTGGTAAAACCCATGATTTTTCACTCCATAGTGTCTAAAACAGTTGTTAATTTACAGGTCACACACAGAATGTATTTGGTGAAATATTAAATGAAATATCAGCCATACGTTTAGGTGTACTGTATTTATGTCTGTTGCTTGCAGTAAATCACTTGGGGACCCCCACTGGAGAAAAAGGTGGGGAACAAATTGAGTAAATAAATGAAAGTAATGCAAGTAAAAGAAATAGCTAGAGGGGTGTGGAAAGATTGTAGCTGTCTGGTGCCTTTGTAGTACTGTCAGTATGGCCGAGCATGTACAAATTGCATCGGCAGGAATAGTATTGAATGAGAATGCTTTTACTAATGCATTACTAATGAATGAGTTTAGGAGAATTGCTTTACATTATATATTGGTAGATAGAAGTGAGTCATCCCCCCGTCCCCCCTTGGGGGCCTGTCCTGTGCAGGGCTTGTTGCATAATAACTTGAAATCCTTTTCCATTGCTGGTGAATTAAAATAGCATCTACTATGACTACTTCCAGTAATGCAATGCAGAATCTTTTCCCTGCAAACCAAGTTATCTTGAAAGAATCAATAAATACTATTGAGTTTAATATTTCAAATACAAAAGGGGTAATTAAAGTCCAGCAAGGAATCTATTGGCATGGCAGGATTTTTGTATGTGTAGTTAAAGACCACTCTCCACTTCTTCACCCAAGTAAATTCTGCCTGGGTTGTCCAAGTAAACTGCAGTAAGTAGCAGCAGTATGAAGGGTGTATATGTTGGGTTAGGACCAATACTTGAAACTGCCTGCTTTGTATAAGTTGGTCAGTGTCGTAATCCAGTGTGATGAACCTTCTGCTGTTAAACTCAGGAACAGTTGAAAATGAAGGACCAGTCACTCAGAAAACTTCAACAGGAAATGGACAGTTTGGCCTTTCGAAATCAGCAGCTGGCCAAGAGGGTAGAGCTGCTTCAGGATGAACTGACGTTAAGTGAATCAAAAGGCAAGAAAAATAAGGTATGTATTAAGGTGAAATAACACCTGTAAGCCTTTATCTAAAGTAACAGTTTACTAATTTCTGCTGGCTGAGATGCACATTGTTTTTTCTGCATTCTAATTGAACAATATTCATACTTTACTCTTAGACCTGGAAAAAAGTCTACTTTTTGAGTTTCTATATGACCCATTGTTCTAGGCATGCTTCTTGAATAGAAGAAAAGAACAAAGGAGTGACTCAATCAGAGATGTAACAGGCAGTCTTCTCTGGAGGCAGGTTATTCCCCTGTATTGGGAATGAATGATGGATTGATGTAATCACACCTGATGTGGAGATATGGTCAAGTTTCCTGCCTGTAGTAGAAATGAATTGCAAGGAGATGAAGCCAGAGTACTAAATCATAAAGAGATGCAGCGGGCAGCTTCCGTGGGAATGCAGTTTGGGCTCACAGAAATATCTAGTGTATGGCATACAGATCTGAACTATACATTGCACAAATGTCTTAGCCACTTCCTGCTCTTTCAGTTGGTGATTGAGAAATATTTCTTTTCCAGTGCATTTGTAGACTCTGAAATCTCTTTTTGTTGGGTTATATAAAAGATGACTGTTTTATCTTTCAGCCAGACCTAAAATGTACTGTTCATTACAGTTGTACCTTGCTGTTTCTCTGATAGCATCTTGTCTATTTATTTATTTTTGCATGATCTCCCATTCGGGTACTGCCCAGGGCCAGACTCCTCTCCCTCCTTCCCTCCCTGCTTAAGCAGAAAAATGATATAACATGTCTTCTGTCCATTCATTGGACTATTTAAAAAAAGCGATGCATTGCTTGCCAGGTTTGGTGAAACTGGTCTGTACCACATTTACTGCTACTCAGACCATTGCTCTTGGCTTCCGATTGCATAGAGCCAGTGGATAGCAAGAGGAAGTGGAAGCAAGTTCTTTCAGATAACTTCAATTGGAGAACTACACCAGCTGTGTACTCTAAACTAGTAGCATTAATTAGAAATGATATCCAGTTATGAGACATTTAAGCAGATCTAGTATCTGGTTCTAACACTGATCCCCAGACTCTGGGGAGCTGAAAACCCTCCAAGTATGTTTGTTATTTGTAACCTGCCTTGAGCAGATCTCTGGAGAGGTGGTATAGGCGGGCAGATGAGGTTGCACAGCAGGCTGGGGGAGGGGCTTACCAGACCTTGGCAGCTCCCACAAACTTTGTGGACAGCCAGTGGCCAGTAAATGCCTTTTATTCAGTAGCTGGCTCTAGGTACAGTTTTGGATGGGTGTGGCTCTCAGGGAGTTACTTTACTCCATCCTCCTCACCCACCATCTCATGCCTCTCCCTCACTCCAGCCACCCCAGATTCCTCAGCACCACTGCCTTTAGAGCCCTGCCAAACATCTGGGCCGACTCCCTCCCTGACCTTCCCGGGCCTTCCACAACCCTAAGGGAATGCTGTCTCCCCCAGTAGTGTCTGGTCACACCTAACCTACTAGCTTCCGCTGTGGTGCTAGTTCTGCAGTCCTGCCATGCGGGTGGAAGTCAGGCCCCTTCCTGAATGGTGTGTCCAGTCCTTCCCATCCTTCTGGGCTGCTGGAGGGTGCAGGTGGCATATAAATTTTCTAAGTAAATGAATAGCAAGACTGCTTTTGCTTTCTTCTAGAAAAGCGGCGAAGCTTTATCTCAGCTGAGTCAAGAACAAAAGAATGTCTTTGATGAGGACCTTCAAAAGAAGATAGAAGAGAATGAGCGACTGCATATTCAGGTGTGGGCTTAGCAGTGCTTGAAATTGAACAAGGCATAATATGCCTGGCCAGGTGCTAGTGTTCCATGATTCAAACCTGGAAGACTTTGAAACAGCTTTCTGTGGGGACCTTGTCTAGAATGGCCCAGCTAGTACAGTTGACTAACACTACCACCTTTGGCATGAGCAAATTATTTCTGGTGCAGTGAACCTGGATAGGCAGCAGTGCTGTGTAGCAATGTGTAACTTCTGGGAAACACTGAACAGTTGAATGACCCATCTGTCTTTTGCCAGAGCACCTTTGAAATTTTGTTGTTGTTCTGACTGTTTTCCAGATAACCAGCTTTTTGATCTTACAAAGGCCAAGCTAAGTTAATGGAAAACACCTAGGCAGCTCAGAACTAGGGGCAATGAAATCTTTTGGTGTCTTGAAATATCCTGGGAGAGCGTGAAGAAGAGATTTTTCTTTGGTACATAACTACACTGTGCGGGCAGAAAAGGAAAAAAAGGGAGCGATTTTGCCACTTGCACCCTGCTGTATGTGGAATTGCAGCATAGCCATCAAGGGCTGAGGTGCACCTCTCCCTTGGCTTGGGAGCTTTTTGGTACCCATTCTTCTCATTTTAGTTCTTTGAGGCCGATGAGAAACACAAGCGTTTGGAATCAGAGCTGCGGAACAGACTGGAGGTCTTGGAGATGGAGGCTGCGCAGCACCAGGCGGTGGTGGACGGGCTAACGCGGAAGTACATGGATACAATAGAAAAACTGCAGAATGACAAGGCCAAATTAGAAGTAAGTTTTAGAGTTGGGTTTTCCCTGGAGTTAGCGATACTGTAGGGAGCTCTGCCTGCTGAGACCCTTCTAGTCCCCTGATTTGCTGGCCTCTCCCAGTGCCTCCTACCTGAAATGCTTGGGGCTGGAGCTGGGAATGCCTGAATGAAAAGTGAGGACTTTGACCACTTTTTCCTGTGCAAGCGATAGCACAAAGGCTGCAGCAATGTATAGCACTTCAGTATAATTTTTAACAAAATAATCATGTGCTCCACTGAGGAGTTATGGCCCCTGAACCAGTTTTTCAACAAGCATTCCCAGCAGGTTGGTTGAGTGGTTTAATTATGGATTCTTTAGATACTTCTGTCTGGCTGTGTGACTATTTAGTATTTTATTATTTTAATTAGTACTGCTGTCTGACCTATTGGCACTTTGAGTTTTTTGCATTGCTTTAGGTGACATTTTTTTTTGCAGGACAGCAGACTGTCAGTTCTTAAAAATTGTTATAGTCACTGTGTTGTGCAAATAGCTATTGAGTGTGCTGTTCTTCCTTCTCCCCTTTCCCTTCTTTTTTTTTTAAGATTAAATCTCAGACTCTAGAGAGGGAAGCCAAGGATTGCAGGGTTCGAACAGAAGAATGGTATGCTTTGTTCATTTTATTAAAAGAAATCAGTTTCATTTGATTGAAGTCTACCTGGAGAAAATGTGGAATTATGATCCTTAAGACTTTTTTCCTCAATTTTGAACTGTCTGTTTTTGATCCTGTTAGCTGTTGGATGCAACCATGAAGGGCCACGTTATACTGAGTCAGACCATTTAGCTGATTTTTCTACTCCATAGGTGCACAAGCCATGCAGAAATGTGAAAATAGTTCCATGCCTGGGCTTCTGCATGCTTTAAGGATGTAATGCAGTACACCAATGTGTACGTGCTACACTTAAAAAAAAACCCCTTTAACTACATACTTACTGCCTGTTTGTGCCACAGGGAGCTGTGACTGATCTGGGCTCATCCTACCCTGGCATGTGTGCAGATCTGGGGAATTTTTTTTTAGTAGTTATACACAGTGCTGTGGCAAGGACTTTTTACTTTTAGCACAATCATTATGTGGGTTTTCAGGAAAACTCAGAATGAGAAAATATTTCCGGAAATTTTTGGAGCATTATCACATGCCTTAAATAGAGCATGAATTTATGTTTACTGTTATTTACATTTAGTACATTTTCTAAAAGAACTTCATGTTAATTTTATGTCTCAATAGCAACAAATAACTGAAATATTTGATTAGGGGAAAAAAACTAAATCACACTTGGTTTTAAATATTATGGTAGAACAAACTCAAAACTTTATGTGGAAATTATTTTTATTGGAATAATACTCGCTCAAATGTAAAGACAATAGAACATGTACTTCCCTTATATTGTATAAATTTTAAAAGAATGCAGAAGACACCGGAAACTACTGTTACACTATTTTAGCATACCCAAAGAACTGTGCATGGAATCCATGAATGAGGTTGTCCCCTCATTTACTCCAGCATAATTTAACTTGATTTTGTGTGGATTATTACATGTATTGTGGGAAAACATTACATGTAAACACAATTCCTAGGGATAATCACTGAAAACACATTCATGAACACTTTGGTACTGCCAGGCTTCCCTGTTTCTATTGGCAATGACATCTATTGATGGTTGCTAATTTTATGAAACAATGACTTGTAAGAAATTTTTTAGCACAGTGCCCATCACGATGCATGTTAAGAGACAGCTCATTCTGGTTCTCTTGCAAAGCAGCTGCTGGTAGGTTAAACGCAAGTTGGCTCAAGTATGCAGGTAGATGATTTGTTATACTTGCAGAGATGAAATTATGTTCCACTGCAGTACAATTGTCTGAAGCCTTCATGAGTGAAAAAAATGCATGCTGCATTGATATATTTCAGAAACAATTTTGATGCTGTGTCCTGACAGTTGACATACCATTAATACAAGTGGCTTAAAACAGGCAGTTCGTTATACATAGATATGTGCATCTCTGTTTAGCCTTGAAATAGACTGCCCTGATTTCTTGAAGTGTTCAAGAACATTCCAGCTTCCTACAGTGAGGGTCAGTCAGAACGTGGATGGTCAGTACAGCAATTGTATGGTCACCAGAGCAGCTGCTCTAGAATACAGTGTTAATAAAGTGTTTCTATTAGATGCAGTGTTGTTGTTTTTTTGACCTATCTGGTATTATAAAACATGCACGGTTATGCTTGTTTAATGTGAAATGTGTGCCGCTGGTGTTCTGGTTTTTCATTTCTCAGCTTACCAACACGCACCCCCCCAATAGTTAATTGTTGCCTTTTGTTATGCAGCCAGCAGCAACTAAAGAATCTTCATTCTGACTTGGGTAGCAGGTTGGATGAGTCTTTACGCATTATCCGTGAAAAAGTACCTTTCAATGATACAAGTAGGTATTGCCTCGATGCTGTTGCTATTATTGAAGAGAGGAAAAAGGGAAACCCGTGAGAGGTGGTACAGTGTAGTGACTGACAGGGAGTTTCTAAACAGTTACACCATTCTAAGCCTGTTGACTTCAGAGGACTTAAGTATAACCCTGTTTAGGATGGCACTGTAAGAGTATCATCTGTGAGGTAGTCAGATCTTGCTACTGCAAGCCATAGGGTCACTAAGGTAGACCAAGGCCAACTTCTTGAGGCCACACTAGATGAAATTCCAGGAGGTCTGTTAAATGGATATTCCTAGTATTTTTAACGGTAGTGGCTGTTGAACAGAGCATGAATGGAGCAAAGAAAAAGGACAGCTTATCCCTCTCCTACCTTCCCATTTCCATGTCCTCACCAGCCACATGATAAATAATTTTGTTGTGTCTGGAACCTGAGGTGGAACGACATGTTATAAGGAACTCTTACTCCCCTCCCCCAAACACCCCGGGAGCACCACAACTACACCATAATGATACCAAGATATAAAGCTCCTCAAGTTGGGACATCATTTCAGTGTGTTCCAATATAGATTTTAAAGAAAAAATAAATAGTGATGGAGGTTAAGCTGTTACTGGCCATTGTGTGTATTGCTTAGGCTTGAAAGGTTGCATTCTGCTAAGAGTGGAAGGCTCCAGTGATGCAGGGAGCCTTCTGCCAGCTCAAGGAAACTTGTGTGGACAAAACAGGCAAGTTCTACCTGCCTGCATCACAGGAAGGTTCACCATTGGTGCTGTGGATTCTTTGGATCCAGCCCCATGGTCTTTCATTTCCTGTTACCCATCAGGGTCTCTAGGCATATGGTGGCTTAGAAATTTAAAAAAAACCCCAACCTTTATCCATAGTTAGAAGTCATACAGCAAGGCGGCTAGCATCTTTAAACTGTGCTTGTCATATGGGTTAGTGTGTGCCATGCGTCTTTAAGTGTCTCGTTTCTATTGCTTATTAATTCAAATGTCTTTATGTCAAAGAACTAGTATAGCGAGCTAGCTAAAAGGCTGGGCTTTGATCTGGGATGCATCCTTTGGCACTATGGGGGGTAATACTGAACTGTCTTAGAATTATTGTAAGAATTACTAAGTGTGTATGCAAAGGACTTTAAACAATAAAAAGTGCTGTATAAATTCAAAGTTTAAAGTGACATCCCATATTGGCATGTGCATCTACCACTTTCTTGTTTATGTACTTGAATTTGTAGCCTGTGCTATCCCTAGGGTGGGTAATAGCTGTTCTGTTTTTGTTCTGCTGCGAGCCAGCATGGTGTAGTAGTTTAGAGGGCCAGACTAAGATCTTGGAGACCCAGGTTTGAACCCTGCAAGAGAAAATCCACATAGCCATGGAAGCTTGGTAGGTGACCTTGGGGCAGTTGCGCACTCTCAGCCTCACCTGCCTCATAGGCATTGGGGTATAAATGAAGTAAGGGGTATAAATGAAGTAAATAAATTTTAAACAGTGTTTGTTCTTGAATGTCTTATAATTTAGTAAAATAAAGAGGAGGGATCCAGAGGGGAGAATATTTATTGCAATATTAAGGATGTTCCCCCCCAGCCAGTTTGGTGTAGTGGTTAAGAGCGGCAGACGCTAATCTGGAGAACCCCACTCCTCCACATGCAGCCAGCTGGGTGACCTTGGGTCAGTCACAAGTTCTCTCAGAGCTGTTCTCTCGAGCAGTTCTCTCAGATACCTTACAGGGGGAGAGGAGAGGAAGGAGATTGTAATTGCTCTGCGACTCTGAGTGAAGGATGGGGTATAAATACAACTCTTCTTCTTTTATAGGATCTAGCCAGTACACTGCTCTGAATGTGCCATTGCACAACAGGCGACGCCAGGTAAGAAACCTACACTGTTTAAGGTGGTGGACTAATACAGATGTAATTCTGGCTCCCTCTTAACTGCAGTTTAAAAAGTCCTCTGGTTAAAGTTGGTTAACCAGAATTAATCCATATGCCAGCCTCTTTGTTAAGGCTGAATTGTGGAATTCACTTCCGAGAAAGAAGGGTCCCTGCTGCTGGCCCCTGAATTTTGTACCATGCTTAAGAGGTCTCCAGCAATACACCATCCCCATGTGGTAGTATAGTAGCATTCCAACAAAAAGCCAACATCACTGATTGGCTTCCTTTGATAGGCAGGCTTAAGACCTGCAAGATGAGGGGGTCACTCCACACAATACATCAAATTCCTTCCTGCCTCCTGCAATGGCCACTAGCCCTTTTTTTTTTTAAAGGGTTAGATTAAAGGGTAAAGGATAGGTCTATTACTGGTACCTATCCATAACATCCAAAAGAGCACTCTCCAATTTCAGAGTTGGAGTAACTGGACAAGCCAGAATTCTGTGCCTCGATGATTACCAAAGTCAACTGTGTGGCTGAAGAAGAGTCTCACTCTTGGCCTCAGTGCCATAGATGTAGGATAAGGTAGCAAAGGCCTGACAAAGAAATGAATTGCATGGGCCAAGTCACCTTTCAGTTCTCTAGGCGTGCACTTCAGGTATTTTTTCATATTTTGAGTATTTTTGCAATATTAAAGCATTTGCTTAAAACGTGACAGTCTGCTTCTCTGTGTGTTCTTTTAAGTGATTAAGGTGATATGCATAATGCCTGGTAGAATATCTGCTGTGAAGTGTATTGCCTTGCATGTGACATAAAATGTCTTTCTTCCTCTACAAAATATATTGTGGTTCTGCCACTGAAATGATATATGGGGCACCACAAATTCTTTCTGCCACACTCAGGTTGCGGTGAGTGAATGCTGCTCTCCCAGTAGTAGAACCTTTATAGCAGGGAGGGTGTCTGTTGTATTCTTATTTTCTGTTGACTTAGTTGGGAGCAGTGTTGTCAAAGTCCTCCAGTAACAGTTTGCATTTCATCCATCATAAGAACCAGCCCCATCTTGGCTCTTTGTCCCTTGTAGTTGAAGCTCCGTGACCTTGTCGGCCAGGCACTGGCCTTTGTTCAAGATCTGGTAACGGCTCTTCTGAATTTCCACACCTACACAGAGCAACGAGTCCAGATTTTTCCAGTTGATTCTGCCACAGACACTATATCTCCATTAAACCAGAAGGTAAGCTGACTTGGGCTGAACTCCTAAGCAACCAGCTCACGTGGCAATGGACAAGCGATTAAATAGGCTGCATGCCAGCATGTCATAGCTTTTTACAGAAGAGGAAATACTGTTTTTAAAACAGTATTTTTGTAGCAGTGGTGCATATTAGATGCAAGCACAGGAAGCCTTTCCAGTGCTTCCTGCAAGGAGGTAGTACTTCGCATTTATAAAGTGCTTTGAAGTGTTCAAAGTGCTTCTCGCATATTAGTGAAACCTTACACCAGCCCCCTTCAGTATTACCAGTATTATCTTCATATTGAAGATGGGTTAGGCTGGGGGAATGGCTTGTCAGGAGCTAACATACGAAGAGCCCTGCTGGTTCAGACCAGTAGTCCATGTAGTTCAGCATCCTGTCTCACAAAGTGGCCTACCAGTTCCTCTGGAAAGCCAACATCAGGGCAGAGAGACCAAGGACTTCCCCTGATGTTGGCTCCTGACGCTAGTATTCAAAGGTTTACTGCTTCTGAATGTGGAGATTCCCTGTAGTCACCATGATTTGTAGCCACTGACAGACCTTCAGCAATTGGTCTGCTTCTCATTTAAAGATATGTGGGGAGTCCATGGCAGGAGAGAGATTTGAAGCAAGGACTTCCTGGTTCACACTTGGGACCTCATTGATGAAGGAGGGGGAATGATCTACAGATGTTGGAAACCACTGAGAGCACCTTCTTGCTGTTTTCTTGCCCCACACAAGATGCAGTCAAGAGGGGCTCTTGTATTTTGGAAGCGTTAGCCCCGAGTTGCTTGACTGTCCCTTTTTTTGAGTGTGTGGGTTGAAAGATACCCTTTTGATGACCCCCCCCCAACCCCCTTACTGAAAAGGATATTGAAATATTTGTTTACATTTTTTCCCAGCTATATTGTTCTCAATATGGCTTATATAATGAGACTTTTTAAAAGGCTTTTTTTTTTGGAAAGCCAATTTGGTGTAGTGGTTCAGTGCACGGACTCTAATTTGGGAGAACTGGGTTTGATTCCCCACTCCTTCACTTGGGCTGTTCTGAAAGAGCAGTTCTCGAAAGAGCTCTCTCAGCCCCGCTTACCTCACAGGGTGTCTGTTGTGGGGAGGGGAAGGGAAAGGAGTTTGTAAGCCGCTCTGAGACTCCGAGTGAAGGGCGGGGTATAAATCCAATCTCCTCTTCTTTTCATGTGGGCTGTAGACTTTCTTTTCATTTATATCCCACCTTTCCCCCCCAATGGGAACCCAAAGTGGCTTACCTCACCTTCCTCTCCTCTGGTTTATCCTCACAACAACCCTGTGAGGTAGGTTAGGCTGAAAGTGTGTGACTGGCCCAAGGTCACCCAGCAAGCCCAAGCTTCCAGCAAGTGTCCATGGCAGAGTGGGGATTTGGGCCTGGGTCTCTCAGATCCTAGTCCAGAACTCTGAGTGCTACACCACGCCATCCTAGCACATCTTCTGTCTCCTTTGTGAGGCTGTTTTAAAGAATAAGCCCAACTTTCCTTAGTTATTGACTGCACAAAAGTGTTGTCTCAGTGGTTCTTCCACTGTCTCCTCCCTCCCCAGGTTCTACAAACTAAACTACTACACCAGATGGCAGTGCAGAAACAGTGCCATTATTTCTTGCAAGTAGTGGATTGGGGGGGGGGGGACTATTCCGAATGCAAAATCTTTGGCCTTGATGTGGCTGCGCTGTTTGGCCAGTTAATCACTAACTGCTCTTTCTGCATTTAGTTCTCACAGTACCTCCATGAAAACGCGTCTTACGTTCGCCCCCTGGAGGAAGGAATGCTGCTCTTATTTGAGAGTGTCACGGAGGACACTGTCACAGTGCTGGTAAAAGTGTTCCCTTCTTGCCAAGCTCCCCCTCCAAGGCAGGCTGGTACTAAATAGCTGAACTAACGTTATTTTTTCTCTTTTTTGAAAAGGAAACAACTGTGAAATTGAAATCATTTTCTGACTACCTAACGTCTTATGTCCACTTTCTCAGGAAGATTCTTCCGTACCAGTTGAAAAGGTATTTTCTTTTTTCTTCTTACTTGCTAAATGGGAACTTTAATTCAATGTGCGGCTTATCACTTAACATTGGATTCTTTGAGCTGTTGGTAACGTGCCTCTGACTCTTGAGTAATTTTCATAAGTATTGCTGGCAATGTAAGGGTCTAGAGCTAGGGATTCCCCAGTTCCATCATAGCTGCTTTTGTCAACCCTAGTGCCTCCCCTGTGCGTGAACCAGAAACTCTCTTCAAAGATATATAGTGGGTCAGATGTTATGGGTTGTATCTGACCACTTTATGCAGTGAAGGGGAAGTATGATTTGTCAGTGCAAGGCACATCCTGCCGTCACATGCAGTTCCTCTGCTGGTGGGAAGCACACACCCCTCCCTGAGAAGACTGGTAGGATACAACGTCATTAATCCCTTCCACTGACACCAGAGCCTTTCTCCAGCAATGCAAGGCTCTGCCACTAGCAAAGCAGGTCTGTAGGATCTAGCACCATATTCTTGGTGGCTGTAGTCTTTTTCTTGGAGAGTTTGTCACATCCTAAGCTGGCTCTTCAGAAGAGTTAGAAAAAAGGTATACATGCAATTTCAATAATGTGTAGTCTTCTACTTCTGTTATTAATTTATATAATTGTAATCATTTTCTTACCACAGTGCCTAAGGTTACATATATTTTCCAAAAATGCAAATGTATGAGAACTTGTTTCTAACTTCCTTTCAAATTCCCTGTCACAGTAACAGCCAGAATCAAAATAACTTGGGCTCCTTTGATTAACTTTTCCCCTCACCAAATGAAGTTAGATACCTCTGATTAATCAGCTAAAGCTTTAGATGGTTGGTCCATCAATTGAACTGACTAAATATTGCATCCTTAATTGAAAACCTTCCCATTAGCATTTCTGTGAACAGGCAAGTGAATTTACTTCCTTTTGTGCCCCACCCCTGGCCAGTGTTCTTTCCAAGGCTGGAAAAACCGATAAATTTCTACTCTATCGCTTTTGCATGAGTGTCCTACTTAACAGTCCAGAGTCTTTGTTTTTCAATTATTTGCAGTATGGAGAGCTTGCAGTCTAATACTACATGGTGTGGGTTCAAAGAATGCATTTAAAGCATTTGACCCCAGAATGCAGATTAGGGGTTTAAGACAGGATGCTAAATTCTTTTCTGTAAATTCATTATGTCAAATGGGAAGAACCATCACTGGAAAGAACTTCTGGGCTGTTCCCAGTTTCACAGCCACAAAATGCGTCAAAATTGCAAACAAAAGAGTTTCTCCAGGGCTTCATTCAGATGTCATGACAAAACGGTTTGTTGAATCCCTGGTTCATCAAGGTGTGTAAATGCAGGGTGCTCAACGAACTGTGGCTTATTGCTGGGTGCTAAGCTAGGTTTCTGAACCACAATTCATACTGGGCTTGTTGCCTGTGCTTGGCACTAACTCTCATTTCTCATTATGTCCATATTCAGAAGTCCCAGTTTGTTCAGTAACTCCCCCCCCCCCCCCAATCCTCCTGGATACAGAATTATCTGCATCAAGTAACAAAACACAGCTGCTCGAGCAGCATTCAGCAGTGTGCTGATCCCTTTATAATGATGATTAATCAAGCAATAGCTTCTCCCAAGGGGAAATTCAAAAGGCAGTGGGACAAAAGATACCTCTTAATCACACATGTCTTTCAGTTTTTCGACATATAAAATAGAAGCCGCTGCATAAAATACACTTGTGTATTTTATACTAGTATTTATATTAATTTATTTTGTTTTATCTATGGTTCTCTTGTAAGCTTCCCTGAGCATGTCCCGGCGGGGAGGGCAGGGTAAAAATCTAATAAATTAAAAAAAAACACACATCCTTATAGTCCTGAGCAGTTCACAGCCCACCTACAGTCAGACCTTGCTGCTCCTTTCTTTACATCCAAGGGAGTAAATTGGCCATGTTTATATATTTCTTCCCAAGCTTTTATCGCTGAAAGAAAACAAGGTTTGGGAATGTAGGTGAAATGGAGGGTGTGGGAGAGGAAGGTGAGGGCTGCGTAAAATCTCTTTTTATCCCAGCATTAAAAAAGCTTAGGAAATGCACTGAAGTAACTAGACAAGAGGTAACAATCCCCTTTGCAGAGAAGAGCCTGAAGATCTGAGGAGGCTTGGCTTGGATTCCTGGCCCTCCTTTGCCTATTTACTGCAGCCAATCAATAGTGATTGAGCTGCACACGTAGGGAGGTTTTGCTAGTACCCCAGCAATGCAAGAGTTTGGGATAGACTCTGGGGATTATGCTTTGAGGTAGGAAAGGTGACATGCAGCAGACTCACTGGAGGTTATTATGAAGCCAGTATGATGTAGAGGTTACAGTGTTAGACTAGGACCAAGGAGAGCCAGCTTCAAGTCCATACCTGCGTTGAAGCTTCCTGGGTTACCTTGGGCTGTACAATCTTTATCAACTTAATGTACCTCGCAGTGTTTTGGGGTAGCTAAAGTAGAGGGGGGAGAACCATATACTGTGCCCTGAGCTCTTTGGCAAAAGGCTGGGATAAGAGAGTGCTGTATAAATAAACTCTGCTACGTACTGAGCGCTAACCAGGGATTGTGCAATAAACTGAGGTTTCAGTTTATCATGACATCCAAACAGAGCCAGGAAGATAACATTGTCTGCTCCATGTTTATGTGCATCTGCCCATCAGCCCTGAAGCATTTCCCCTCGAGCTTCACTTGTATAGCTTTTCAGGTGTGTGGGTTTCGGGAAAGTGCCCTAAAATGTGTTTCTCATCTTTTCTGAAAAAACATGTCATTTAAGCAAACAAAACCACTATACTCACTCTTAAAAACATAAATTCATATGTTCCTAGTTTGGAAGAAGAGTGTGAATCTTCTCTTTGCACAGCTGCGTTAAGAGCCAGGAACATGGAGCTCCAAAACGACATGAAGAAGCTGACGACTGTCTTTGAGAAGCTGCACACGTATATTAGTCTTCTTGCCTTACCAAGTAAGCGTCTGTTGGCAACTGCGGTGGGAACATTTGAGGATGATGAAACTTTCACATTTCATTGTTATCTTATCCAAGTACAAATTGAAGCTTTTTGTAGGGCAGAAGGCAGATGTTAAACTGTGTATATGTCATTGTCTCTATTTAGTGAACAAGAGGCACTAGATGCCTAGTGATGTGAAGGTCATGGGGAGATAGAGAGGAAGACATCTGTTGTTCAGGCGCTTCCAGAAATGAAGTTGGAACTTGAAGGGAATTGAAAAAGGAAGTGCCATAAAATATTCTGTGTTAGTTTCAATAATTTTTTAAGCAAATTTTGAAGTGAGGCTGGTCTAAAACTCCTGCTGTAACTTGAGGTTCCTGAAATGGACATTAAAAAAAAAAAGAAATTAGAAAAAATAAACTCTCCACTTCCCAAAATTACAGTGATTTGCCTTCTAAAGCTGTTTCATTTCTGCTTTGAACCTAGAAGCCCCTAACTTCAGTTTGAAAGCTAAGAAAGGGCAGAGTATTATGTTTGTGGTGACTGACTCTAAAGCTCTGTGGTGGAGCAAAACATCTTGCTTTTTCAACAAAAACTGCCAGTTAGGACAGCCCAAACAATTCAGGTTGGGGCAGACCAATTGCAGATGTGTTTGTTCCTTGTCACATAAAATATTAGCCTGCTTCCCAGAGTCATAAATAAACTGTGTAGTACATAAATGAGTTTTAATGAAACAGTATCTAGAAACAAGTAAATCCAGTGATTGAAACTAGCATAAAACATATAGATTAAAGCATGTTATAATTGTGGGGGAGGTGCTTCTGAATAGTTATTGATCCCAACCCTGCCTGTCTTAAAGCTTAAATACCATTTTAGGTTTTAACGTAGCGTGGCTTGCCTGTTACTTGGCTTACTTTCTATTTTTAAAATATTGATTCCTCTCAGGCTGATAAGGGGCGGGGCAGGAATTAATAGAGCACATGTACCCTGGAGTAGCTAACAATTGATTTAAAATCCAAGTGCAAATCTCTTCATGCTTGAACAACTGACATGCTAAGGGGCATGTGTCCAAATATCTGCACCTTGCTGCTAACTGGTGACCGTGTGGGTACAGTTTGAGGCTGTTGAAGACGCTCCATTTAACAAGTATCTGCAGGAAACATGTCTTGATTAACAGTTCATCTACCCTCTGATGTGTGAGTGTGCTGCTCCTTACACAAATGTCTAAATGGTTTGAAAGTCATTTGTCTGTGACATTATGGAAGATGTACTGCAGCACACATTTTGAAAGATAATTTTGGATGATTTCCAGGCTTTTTAGGATCAATACTTGGACATCATAAGGCTTTTGCAGACCATTTTTACCTGGAAAGATCTTTAATGTAGGGGGAGCTCCATTTCCTTCCTTCTATTGTACTGCATTTTTTCCAATTTAAACCCTTGCTGTTTCCAAGTGCCCCACCCAGGATTTTTACTACTAAAAATGGGATCCCTAAATATTTACTTCATCTGTAGTCCTCCTCTTGTGCTAATACTTGAGGTGGAATACATCTAAAAACAGTAAGAACTGTGTAATACATAAACGAACAACATTGGAGAACATGCTAAAAATATAGTGTAATGTAGGTAATGAAGAAAGATTGCACGATTGGAGAACAATGCATGCAAACCATTAAATACAACGAACTGAGAAATACAGGTAGATTACAAAATTAAAGAACAATAAAAAGCATTATATGCATCAAGAAGACTACCTGAAGTTCTACAGACATTAATTACATGAAGTTCTGTACTCTATTGACGTTATCAGGTTCTTCAGGAGTAGGAAAGAGTAAGAGTTCAGTAGCGCCTTAAAGACTAACAAAATTTCTGGTAGGATATGACCTTCTGTGAGTCATAGCCTACCACAAAAACTCATACCCTACCACAAATTTTGTTAGTCTTTAAGGCACTACTGGACTCTTACTCTTTTCTACTGCTAGTTTCTTCAGGGCTCACCACAAAATGGCATGTTATTCTGTTGCTGTTTAATTCCCAAGTAGATACCTCATTTGTTGCTGTGTGATAAGAGACTGATGACCAGTACATAATAGGGTGAGAGCATGTATGTATAAAATCAAGGCTGAGATATATTATGGGCCCAATTAAAAGAGATTTTATTAGCATATGTCACAATCCAATGATAGCATGTACACGATTCCCGCTGCCCTCTTTAGAATTTCCTATTTGACTAGGAATCTGAACCTGGTCCAAATGTCAACATTAGCCAACATAGCTGGATTTCTTTTCTATGGTCGGGGGCCCAAGGACATCAAATTAGCTGCAACCAGGGCCAGGGCTTTTTCGGTGGCAGCTCCTACCTGGTGGAACGAGCTCCTGGGGGAGATCCGGGCCCTGCGGGACCTTATGCAGTTCCGCAGGGCCTGCAAGACAGAGCTCTTCCACCAGGCCTTTGAGTAGGAGCCGCTGCCCCACTATACCACCACCGTTATGGTATCTTAAAGGATGCACGGACGAGGCCCTGATGAAGATCCTGGAATATGTAAGGAAGATCTGATAAGCTGTCGCCATTCATGGGAGTACCACCTGGAATTGTGTTGATTCCATCTTGGATTATGATATCAGTGACTGAGCACCGTTGTTGTTTTTAAGTGTTAGTTGTTTTTATTATGTTTTAGATGTTTATTTATGGCACGGCTGATTACCTTGCCCTTGTGAGCCGGCCTGAGCCCATTGGGGAGGGCGGGATACAAATGTGAAAATAAATTAAAAAAATAGATTTGGACTGGCGAAACTGAAAACTTACTGAGTGCTTGTTGCTCTTTTATGGCCTTTTTGGTTGTGTCCCTTAACCAAGTGGGACTCACTGGGGAAACCTTTTAATTTGGTTGCCTGGTGCTGTTTGGTTTTGGAAGATAAATAATAATTGAATTAAGATTTTGCTCCTCTTTGTGTAACTTCTAGGCACAAAGCCAGACAGGCTGCTTCGGACAAACTTCAGCTCAGTGTTCACGCATGTTGCATCAGCTCTTCAAGGATTTCATGATACCATGAAAGGTGAGACCGACTTAGGCATGAGTAGCTTTTCCAATAGAATGAATGAATTAGGGGTGTGCAAAAAAAAAAATGCTGGTATTTTTCAGCTTCAGGTAAATGAGACCCAAAAAACATTGGTAAATGCTGAATTTCCCCAATCCAATACCGGTAAAGTATTTGGACTGGGGAAATATATTTAGTATTCCAAAATATATTTGGGTCTGACATACACCACCAGGGGGAAAGGAGGCATGTTAAAATGTCTTCTTTCCCTCTAGTAGCCCATAGGGATGTCCTTGTCAATTTCACTCCCGGCCAGTCAGCTATGAGTGAAATTGACAAGGGAAAGCCTCTGCTTTCTGCCTTCCCTTCTCTAGCTGACATGGGGTAGCTGGAGAAGGGCAGGCAGATTGGGAAGGGAAAGAAAGGCATTTAAACATGCCCCCCCTCCCTCCCTTCCCCGATTTTCTCCACAAAGCAGAGAGGCTCAGGGAAGGAAGTGGGCAAGTCTGCATGTCTGCCCTTCGCTTCCCCAGCCAACCCACCGTGGCGGGCTGGCTGGGGAAGCAGAGGGTAGGCATGCAAAGTGCCTGGGTTCCCTCCCCAATTCCCTGAGTTTATCCACAAAAGTGGAGAGGCTCAGGGAAGGAAGGGGGCATGTTTGCATGCTTGCCCTTCCCTTCCCCAGCCTACCCACTGTGGTAGGCTGGCTGGGGAAGCAAACTGCAGGCATGCAAACATGCCTGGGTTCCCTGCCTGATCTTCTCCAGGTGCCCTGTAGCTGCGGGGCACCTGGAGAAGATTGGGCAGGGAACCCAGACATGTTTAAAATGCATTTCTTTCCCTCCCAGATTTCGGGAAGAGAAGAAAGACATTTAAACTCAACAGCTGACTGGTGACTCCTGTTGTTAGGTTTAAATACCTTGTTTTTGATATAGCAAAATGATACCAAAAAAAAGCTAGATAATATCGGCTTTTTTGGGTTCATCTATACTGGTAGCCGAATACAGATCTCTGATCTGTATTTGGCTTATGTGTTACCCGAAAAATGCCAACAAGGTATTGGGGTGGTGGTGGTTCGGTTATGGCCGAATGCATACCCCTAGACTGAACAGTTCTGTAGTCAATTAACAGCTTACCAAGAGGTATGACAACTTGTGTACATCTATCCAGGTGGTTGCTGAGCAGTGGTGGAGTTCGTGGCTTAAATGGCCCAGGAACCTGGCATGTGGCAGCCCTGCAAGCCAGCACTTCAGGGGCCACTCACCTCAGACCCAGTCAGTGGCATTGGTGATGGACATCCACCTTCAGGGTTGGTGGGACTGCTGGTGCTCGGCTGTGTTTCTGCCAGGGCAGTGGCCCATCAGACCCTTTCCCAGTAGATTAAAGGTTCAGTTCTCCTCAGTTGCTTGGTTGACTTAACCAGCAGCTGGCTTCCCACATCCCAAATGAAAATGGCTGGGGTTGGTGTCGGTGCCAGAGGACAGTAGCTGCTTCTGGAAATGATAACAAACTGTGAATTGTGGCTGCAAGAACAAGCCTTGGAATTCTTGAGGCTCACATGCCTCTTCTCTTTGCATGGGGCTTGGAAATCGATGTAGCAACAAACTGTGGCTTGTTGTGAACCTGGAAATGTTCAGTTTCCAAGCCCCATACAAGGAACAGGCCATATGCTGTCATTAGATTGGTGCTTGCTTTGAGTTGCACTGCCCTGAAAAGACAATTTAATTAAATCTTCCAGAGGCACAAAAATGTGCAACAACAGAAGCTTGTGCTTAAGGAGCTGCTTTGTATGAAGTCAGTCTAATTATCATTCTGAATGACAGAGGCTCTCTACGTCTTAGACAGAGATCTTTTCCAGCTCTGCCCAGTGAATCCTGTAATCAAGAGATGCCCAGGACTGAGCCTGTAGCCTTGAGCGTGTACAGCTGTTACAGCAATAGACAATGGCAATATTATGGCTGGTTCTGACTGTTCTAAGATAATGGCTGTTGATATTATGGCTGGTTCTGACTGTTCTAAGCAAACTGGCAAATATTTCTCGAGCTTCCAAATGTATAACATCCACATTAGTTCTAGTTGTTGGCACTGGCTAGCCTAAACTGAGGATCCTGGCATTGATAGTTAGAGATGCTGATGGCTCAGCAGAGCAGCATATTTCCTATTACAGAAGTTTTCAGGAGACAGGAAAGAGGGAATCTGAGTTGTGTGTGTTTGGACATGCCTAATACATGTGGTAGCAGTTGAAAAGCTGCCCATGTGCATGTCAGAGATGGAAGGAGCAAGGACTTTTGTATATCTGTATCTCTCCCTTCTATCTTTCCCTTTCCTGTTTTTAAAAAAATCCATGCAACAACCTTGTCAAATTGGGTTGACTGAAAGATGCTGTTTGACCTATGGTCACCAGTGAGCTTCATGACTGAGCAGGGTCTTGAACCTTGGGTCTCTTTGGTCCAAATTTAACAATATCTTCTACCCCATAACCCCACGGAGTGCGGGCAAGAGCAACTCTTCTTCTTGATATGATTGAGAGACATTTAATTGTCTTTGATTATCCTTCTGGAAAGAAAAAATGAAATTTAGTATTTATTTATTTATTTTTGGATTTATATCCCGCCCTCCCCAAAGGCTCAGGGCGGCTAACGAGGCACAAGTGCCAGAGTTAAAACAGATAAAACAGCCTAAAACAGTAAAACAATATAATACAACAACAAATAGGAGCAAGGAGAGAATCTTCAAACGGGCTTTGAACAAGAGTTCCAGAGGGTATGCAAGGTTGTATGCATGGCTGATGCAACTTTTAATCCCTTCTGGTTGTAGATATTTCCAAGCATTATAGTCAAAAAGCTGCCTTGGAGTGTGAGCTCCCAACAGCCACGCAGAAGCTAATAACCACAAATGACTGCATCTTATCGTCTGTGGTGGCGTTAACAAATGGAGCAGGCAAGGTAATTTTCTCTTCTCACCTGAAGCAATAGCAGCAGCCTTAGCCAGGGTTGCAAAACAAAGACTAGTTTGCAGGCTCTCTAGAGATTGGTAAAAAGACCTGTGTTACCAGCGGAATTGGGGAACTTCTAGAAAAACTGCTCTTGCACTGCGTTCCTTTGGGGTAAAACTAGGCCAAATAAAATTCTTTGGCTAGGGGTGTCCAGGGGTCATTTCGTAGAAAAAGAGGTGCAGGAGCACATTAGCATAACTCATTAGCATAACTTATTTGCATATGCACACTGGAAGTGTGTCAGAAGGCAACACCCACTGCTCAGGCTCCACTGGACTGTTTTGGATTGCTAGCTATTTGGGGGGTGGGGGGCATGCAGATCTGTCCTTGCAGAGGAGGAAGAGCTTGTACCTGAATAAAACTTGGTCTTAAAGATGCCACTGGACTGTTTTGGACCGGGGGGGGGGGGGGCTCTGCAACTTACCTGGCTGCTTCTTGCTCTGACTGAGGGCTGCTGGGAGCAGGGGGTGGGGCTTGTTGCATGTGCCCGCCCCCTGGGCTCTTTACTGCCAGAGTTCCGCTCCTGTGCGCTCCTGCAGGAAATGACCCCTGGGGGTGTCAAACATACAGCCCATGGGCTGGAACTGGCCCTTTTAGGGCTCTTATCTGGCCTGCAAGCAACTGATTATTACCTTTATTGCCAGATGACAAGAGGTTGTGCGTTATGTCCCTGTATGCTGTCTGAGTGCTAATGAATAATGGGCAGTAGAATTGGGATGTTGGGCATCAGGGAGATACTTTGAAGAAATACTGTAAGAGTTTAAAACATGTTTGTGTATTTTGAGTAAAATATAATACCGTTAATTGGGTTTGCCTGTGTCCTTTGTAAAGTTTATATCTCCTGTACCTGGCATTACATTTTGTGGCACACATGACCTGGCCTGACAAAGTGACATTCATGTCAGATCTGGCCCTTGTACCAAATGAGTTCAACAACTCTGAGCCAGAAAGCATGTTCCTATTATGTGCACCAAAACAGTATTGCTTTATATACATTTACCTGACCTGTTGTGTTGAATGAATTTTGTTGTTGTTGGGGAGGGGGAATTGAAGATAGAGACTTTTTGCCCCTATTGTTGCCTGGGATTAAAATGGTATAAGGAAGAAAAGAGGGGGAGATACATGGGATTCTGTGGAGAGAATAGGAGCCTGATCTCCCATGAGTCTTAATGGAGCAGAAGCAAGGTTGGGGCTTAGTGGGTAGTGGGTTGGCAAATTCCACTGTTGCTGCTTGCATCAGCCCCTCATAACTTTGGGTGGATTGGGAAGGGGCGGGACAAACTGTTTTGTAGGGGCCTCAACTTGTGATTTGTAGAAAAGGAGTAAGGGGAGGTTAGGAAATATTGCAGAGTGAAGAATTTTTACTTCCTAAGTAACACTGAGTAAAATTTGTCAGGTTTTTTGGAGCTACTGGCAGATACACTGTCCACAGGTTTTTACTGTTCCTTTCCTTCTGTGTCCACAAGACCTGGAAACGTGAACTTTAAAATCAATAAGGAGTTTCACTTAGACTAGCACTTGTTCTAGAAAATGAAATCCTACTGTGCTCTCAGGATAGCTCTAATTTGCAGCTTCGTTTTGCAACATAATACATTTCTATAAGAGAGGCCTATGTAAGTATGGATGAAGCCTCTCAAGCTATATTATGTATTTGCATTGTTGATGCAGATTGTTCTCTGTGTGTGTTTGGGCTCTGTTTCAAATGATTGCCTCCCTATATCTAGGTTGCTTCATTCTTTAGCAACAATTTAGACTGCTTCGCTGCCTCATTGAGCTATGGGCCTGAGGGAGGAATGGAGTTTATCAACCCCCTCTCAGCCGAATGCATGCTTCAGTACAAGAAGAAAGCCGCTGCATACATGAAATTACTGAAGAAGGTTTGTGCCCCTTCAAGTACTATAGCCATAGCACAGAGGAACTCTGGTCCCTTGGACATGCTCTAGAAATTCTTTTGATGTGGGATTGGATTCTTTCCCTCCATAAAAGAAGGCCTTTGTTGCGGATAGAACTGCTTTGTTTGTTGTGCTGTATACTTCCTTGGGGTGGAGCTGGGGAAAGAAAAAGATTGCAGAGCAGGAGGACTGCTGGATACAGATGAGAGCTGTCTCAGCATTTGCAGGGTAGTGGGAAGCAGGAAGGAATTCTCCAGGCAGCCACCTGCTACACGGCTGTTTAAGGGGTGCCCTAGCTGGTTTTACCGCAGCAATAGCTGGAGGGAAACTCGAAGCCACCTTACTTTAAGCCAGTTGTAGTTATTTAATATGTTGCAGGATTTGGGGATGGTGGTTTCAGCTGGGAAAAGAAGACAGGCAGTAGAATTTAGGAGCTACCTGTAGTTTGCTGAGTAGGATTCTTGGGTGTTAGTCAAGAGCTGCTATAATCATTGATCAGCCCCTTTTGCCATCTGTCCCTCTACCCTGAATTATCTCTCTTCTCTGCCCTCAGCATCTCCTTCAACTCTTAATGCCCCATCGCAGTATGATGCAGTTTCAGATTATTTTCCAGCCAAAAAACAACAATTGGCCCATCAAATGTAATATTTTCATATAGCCTGTTCACAGAATACATAAGGCTTCTCCCTACCCACCGCCTGCCCGTATTTGCCCAGGGCCATTGCAGGCTTGCTAGAACAGTGCCCCAGCTGCATGTTTTTTCTTCCCTTCCCCCCACTCCTTCAATTGCAATATACTCCATGCAGATCTTTACCACTAAGGGACTCGAAAGCATCCAAGAAGACTTTCACTAGCAAGGGAAGGGCAGTGGGGAAACTAACACATCCCATCTGTAACCCAACTCACTGAAGTCCGTGTGTCTTTTGGCTCCAGCCGTGCTGTGATTCAGTGCCTTACGAAGAGGCCTTGGCCAACCGCAGAATTCTTCTGAGTTCCACTGAGAGCAGAGAAGGCCTCGCGCAGCAGGTATTCTCTCATTTGACATGCAGCTGTTCTGAAATATAGTGTGCTCATTGAATTGGTATTTTTGTTTCGGTAGTCACACTGTATTAACTTCAGTTAGCACACATGTCTTCTGAAATCCACAATTATGCTTACATCCAGAGTTTTGCGTGTCAGCCAAGCACAATCTGATTGCAAAACAAAGGACTGAAGCAGGAAGTTTCTTTGATAGTCAGGCCCCCAAAGGATGCTGGGCCTGGGCTCAAAAAGCCAAGCAGAGCTGTGTGATATGTAGTTCCGCCTCTGCAGAGGTGGCCCTTGGGATTGCCTGCACTGCCCAGCTTAGATTGCACCTTTAACAGGTCTGTGTGAAGAGATGCAAGGTCAAGTGTGTACTCAGTTGGTCATTTTTCACCCTCAAGCCCTAGCAGGTGGAAAGGCAAACAGAAGTTTTTCTTTGGCATTCGTCGTTGGACTACTTACTTTCTCAGGACTGGGGTGTGGGAGAATGAGTCAGAATGACCTATATAAAAGAGACAACAGTCCAGTCCATCTGCTGCTCATTATATTAAAAATGCAGAGCCAGATTTTTCAGAACTAGGAAACCATACCTAGGGTTAGATGGCTTGGCTGCTGGTATACGGCTGGTTGATTTCCACTGCTCAAAGGATAAAGCCACTCCCTTGGAGGTCCTGCTAGAGTTTATGATTCTCATGTAGATTTCAGTACTCAGAGAACTGTGCTGGAAGAGAAATCCTGAAGAGGAGCCTCAAGTGGATTTCCTCCTGAGGCTCTTGGACCATAAAGGGGTGGTCTCAATAGGTGTGGAACATCTTCCATGATGGTGTGGTTTCACTTAAATTTTTCACATATGGGGGGAAAGTCATGTATAAAAAATGATAATCATGTTTTTTCTTAAGTGCACACACGGTTACAACGTGTAAAACTTGATCTGGTCTGTCACTGCAGGCATCAGTTCCCATCACTCTGCAGAAGAATTTGACTCTGATCAGTAACTGTGGATTTTGCCATTATGTGTTCACATTATAAAATAATAGAAGTACTCTTTGCTTTTATAAAAATGTATAAAATGTCACAGCCAGTCTTATAAGGGTTCTCATTTCCTTACTGTTCTTTTCTCTGTGCTGTTCTTTTTGTTTAAAGAGCCTGAATACTCATGAGTGAACCTGGCAGCCATTTGGTAATGTTTGTGATCATGAATGCTAGGAACTTTTTCATGCAAGCTTGGAGTTTACCACAAGCCCTACAGGCCACCTGAAAGCATGCCAGAACTGTGTGTGGGTGCCCTGTTCTGCCCCATGTCCAAGTCTGCTGTATCAGTGGCTCAGCTTGCTACACACTGCTTTGGGTAATCCCTCCTGTCTCTTCCGTTCTCACCTGTTCCCATCTGTTCGGCCTGAAAGAACTCTCTCTTTCCTTATTCTCAAGGTACAGCAGAGTTTGGAGAAGATTGCAAAACTGGAGCAGGAAAAAGAACACTGGATGCTGGAAGCCCAGCTGGCCAAAATCAGGCTGGAGAAAGAGAATAAAAAGGTGGCCGATAAGCTCAAGAACTCTGGCAGTGGCCAATTGATCGAGGCAAGCCTGGAAAGTTCTCTCCTACTGAGCGCAGCTGAACAGGAGAAGGAGGTTGCCACAGAGAAGGATCTGAGGGAGCCCGTTAAATGCACGAGTTTGGTAAGTCTTGCCTGTTTCTTCCTGAAGCTGGGAGAGCTGGAGAGGTTGCTGGGAGATTATATTAGGGAGGGGAGGAAAGAGGGAACTGTTTTGTAATAGAATTGCCTTCTTGTGGAACAGTTCTGTAGTTTCCCTGAATCTGAAAAGTTGCGAGTTGAGGAGATATATTTGTATGCGTTTAGAACGAATTTTCAGTGTGTTTCTCTGTACTGGAGAGAGAGATATTTTGATTCAAATTTGTTCAAGCTACTATTTTTTGTGGTTTTGTGTTTACCAATTCCTTATTTTTCAGACTTTTTGCTGAAGTGTAGCAAAATTCCAGCGACAGCTTTAAAATAGAGATGGTAGATTTGAGATTTTTAGTATGTCAGTTTTAATAATGCTCCCCAAATTTATAGCATTATAGCAAACAGTATTATTCTGAAACGCTACAGCAGTTTTACAACTATATCCTTAGTGCTTAAATGTACGAATTCTTCACTGGGCTGGCTGTTTGTCCAAAGTTCATGTGCGGCATCAAAAGTTATAGTCTTGAAGATATTAGCTGACCAATGTGTAAGTAAGGCATTCTCATTGGCTGTTTATGGCAGTGGAATTTGCCCTATGCATGCTTAGAGCTCTGCCTGCCATAGTTTGGAATATAAACTGATGTGCAGAGCCGTGAACTGGAGCTACTGGGTGCACACAGTCTTTTTTTTTTTTTGGTTAAAAACTTTTATTTTCTTAGGTATTTTCAAACATTTAAAACAAATTTAATCATACAATTATTCCCTTTTCCCTAATCCTCCCCAAACGGCTTCCCACAATGCGTCTCCCTTTTGACCCTTAAATTCAATAAATCTCAAGATAACATCGATTAGCTTAATATTGTTCTAAACACAGTAAATTTTGTTTCACATCCCAGTTTTTTTCTAAGTACATTTTAAAGTCACTCCATTCTTCAAAAAATTCTTGGTCTTCCTTGTTGTTCAACTTTCTAGTTATTTTATCCATTTCTGCCATGAACAGAACTTTTTGTATCCAGTCTTCTATTTCTGGTATTTTTTCTTGTTTCCAACATTGCGCATAAACCATTCTTGCAGTTGTTATCAAATACCAGAACATAGTTTTTTTCTTTACGTTTATTTCTTACATTTTAAGTCCTAAGAGCAGAATTTCAGGTGCCTTCTTAAAAGAACATTTCAGTATCTTTTGCATTTCGCTGTGGACTTTTGTCCAAAAGTCCACAGCTTTTTCACATGTCCACCACATATGGTAAAAAGAGCCCTCATGTTTTTTACATTTCCAGCATTTACTAGACATGTTCTGATTCATATTTGCTATTTTTTTAGGTGTCATGTACCATCTATACATCATTTTATAACAATTTTCTCTTACATTGGTACAGGTCGATATTTTTCTAGAATTTTTCCACAAATATTCCCATGATTCTATTGTCACTTCCTTATTCATGTTAAGTGCCCATTTTATCATTTGCTCTTTTACAGTTTCATCTTCAGTAAACCATTTCAACAATATTTTATACATATTAGAAACCATTTTCCTCCCTCCACTTTCCCAAACAGTTTCTACTTCATTTCTGTGCACACAGTCTTAACATCTCCACTTCTTCTGTCTTGGGAGAATACTTTCAGTAGAACATTCCTTGACACATGGGCCAAAGCCGTTTAACTCCTGCATGGAAAGTAGACAATGTGCGCAATGAAAGTTTTTTCTGCACACTAGGCCTGTTGGGATCATGACTAAGGATGTGCATTTGGTTTATCTAAGGTGAAAAAATACCCGAAAAAATACCTTACCAATATTTTGTTATTTTAAAGTGGAATGAAGATTGGAGATCTTTATTCAGCTACTAAAATAGCTGACTCCGAAAAGCCGATTTCCCCCCGGCTTTTATTCATTTGCATTCAGCTATACCAAGAAGGCATTTAAAGAGATCAGTCTCTTTAAATGCCTACTCCTCCAAGCCCTGCCGCTGCTGTATGAATTAGCTAGTTCTCAAAAAGCATATGCCTTCTGAGTTCACTTGCTGAGTTATGCCCCTGCTGCCACGCTTGGAGAAGGCAGTAGGCATTTAAAGAGACTGTGGTCTCTTTAAATGCCTTCTCCTCCAAGCCCCGTAGGGTATAATAGAGCTGGAAAATTTCATATTTTCAGAAAAATTACCGAATCCTAATGCTATACCAATATTGAGATTTGGGGAAATTGGAAAATAGTGATTATTTTTTTTAGGGTTCAGTATACCTGAACCTAAAAAATACCAATTTCTTTTGCACACCCCCTAGTCATGACAGATACATTCAAGAATAAATCTGTTTAAAGTTGAGTGCTTTGTCTTAACCTGTTTATATATAATTTAGTGACACTACTTAGCACTTACTAGCACTTCGCATAATATTAGCCTAGTGATCCTTGCAATAAATGTTGTTGGGGTGGGGTTTAAAGCAAAGAGACAAGTTGCTTGCCTAAGGTCATCTCCTGAAATTGTAGCCGAAATGAGATTAAAATTGTGGATTCCTCGTTCTTTGAGCTCACTATGCTGTCTAAGCTTGATCTCTGATCTGGGTCAGGTTGTATTTAGTTAACAGCCTCTTTTATGGCTTTGTTTGGCTTTGGATGGAGAAAGTGACAGATGGGCAACATAGGCTGGTTCACGTGATCATGTGAAAGCTTCTACTCTCCCATCTGAAGTCTTATAGAGAAATTATTTCTTTTCCTAAAGGAAGCATCTTTCCTTTCTTTTCCCGGTTGCTGCCTGTGTTTGATCATCTCACTTGCCTAAAACATCTGGAATTCTAATGCTTTAGGAGCATTTCCATAGTTGCACCTAGGCACTACTGTTCATAAGACCAGATTTCTCTCCCATGAGGACTAGATATGCTCTTCCAGCCCTACAGTTCTCCCTGTATCATCTTTAATATATTGGATCAACAAAGATATCAAAGGATAGTAGAGACCTAATTTCAGCTTCTCTGTATGTATTCTGTGATGAAATGAAGTAGTCCTTTCAGTCCTGCTAGCTCATTAATTACAGCATAAATCCTTGTTCTGGTAGCAGCAGTTGGGCCACATCACAGATGAGATACTAAGTATTTACTTCCCCTTAGTCTTTGAGCTGAGAGAGTTATGCAGCTGAGGTCAATAACCAGCAGTTCTCTTACCCTTTCCTTTCTCAGTGGTTCATTGTAAATTCTAAGGGCTGCAGTGTTTTTTCCCTCTGCAACTGTATACTGCTATTATCCTTTGTATGTGGTTTTGATAGAAATGCTAGATGTCTGCAATTTGTATAAGTGGAAAAGCTTCACTAACCAAAAAGAGTTTTAATGAGTGTGTGGAATTCAAAATTCCATTCTGCTGTAGCAAGGCACCTAATCCTAATACCAGTTGTGGCTGGGACAGACCAACTGAGATGGTACCCAAACAGCTTCCCAAAAACTCAGTTATGTGTGTTCATTTTATTTATAGCACTTGTATCCTATTCTTCCTACTATGAGACCTAGGGCATCATCCATGGAGTTACCTGTTTTTTTGTAGATAGAGAGTGACTTGCTCAAAATTGTTCGGTGAATTTCATGGCTGAGTAGTGTTTGTAAATTCAGATATTTCTTGTCCAAGGCCCCCTCTGTCAATTATACCACACTGACCCTGCTACATTAAACAGCATTACAGCATCACTGTAAGTATATTCCTAGCACTTTGACATTTTCAGCTTCATTGGAGCAGAATCTACTTTCCCTTCCACAAGCCCCTTTTCATTTAGCAAAGCATATTTAAGAATGGTTTATGTCCAACCATGTATCACAGGGTGTAAATGCCATTTAATTACCTTGTAAATATCAAATATTTGGTAAATATCAGTAAACGTATTTGGCTGTGCCTTGGAAGTTTTGCAGGCTACCAGCTGAAACATGCATGATGGTTAAATGTTCTACTGGCAGTGACAGGTTGGCAAGAACGTGTCACTGAGCATGATCTTTGTTCATGGAGAAAAGTGTCAAGGGTATAATCTAGCGAAAGTTAAGCCTGTGGAAGGCTCAGTGATTTCAACGGGAGACACTTTGGCATGTGTTCAGCTTTCTCAATATTTTAAAATTTTTGTTAAATGAATGAGGCTAATTTCTCGATATATTTGAGTCAACATATAAACTACTTCTGCAATCTGATTACCATCTTAATCTCTTTTTTTTAGGTTGGAATGCTAACAATGACTGCTTGCAATGAAGAGGTATGTTTTTAATATGACAGAATCATACTGGCATAATTTTAAGTGTATGGGTTAGATCCAAAGAACTGAATGAAACTCCACTGGCAGAACAAATCCTTTCCCCTGCTGCCTGTTTTCTGTAGCAAAAGGCCCAAACAGTCTTTATTAAACAAGTGGGCTGCAGCATGTGGGACTGCACCTGCACCGGAAAACCCACCAAAAATTCACAGGTCCCTTCTTCCTAGAGTGGAAGTGCCTTCAGTTCCCAGAAGGGTGCCTTTGGATCTAACCGATTCTATATAAAGCAGACTTTTTACATCCGAGATAGTTTCAGGTGAGTAGCTGTGTTGGTCTTCAGTAGAAGATTTCCAGGGTATAAGCTCTTGAGAGTCAGAACTCCCTTCATCAGATACTCTCCCCTTTACATCTAAGCATTTTTAGCTAGAAGACTATAATGTAACATTTCACTGCCGTTCTATTTTAATTTGCTCAGTAGGAGCATATACACATTGGTCCAATGATGCTGGTATTTTGTATCACAGGCTACATGTTCTGTTCTGCAAGTAGCTTGCCTAGCAATAATTATGGAAACTTGTCAGTACTCCCAGAAAATGAGCACAATGTAACAGCATTGTTATTACTACTCCACTGTTGTTGAAACTTGCATGTTCTCCATGTAATAATCATTTTACTTATTTAAAAATGTTTATATGCTTGCCTTTCTCTTGAGCATCTCGAGGCCCTGTCATATTTTCTTGATGGACTAGAGCAATATTGTTCTATCGCATCTGTACTTTTCCTGCTTAGTCTGTGGTGGCTATCACTTTTTGATGTACTTGCTTGTGTTGCTATAAATTTCCTCTGCAGATTCCAGAAGCTGATACCCGGGAAGACTTGATAAAGAACCACTATATGGCAAGGATAGTGGTAATAATAATAATAATAATAATAATAATAATGTAATTGCCCAATCCCTGCTGTTGCTGGGCTCTGGGTGATATACAACACATAGTAAAAACATTAAAACTATAGGATATGTACATAAATAATGCTAATCCAGTAATCTAAAAAGATCAAGTGGCGAAATTACAATTTCTTCCCAATTCTGGACCGTGGCCACCTCGCGGGTATGGGGAGGAGGAATAAAACTATCTGATGGAAAGAGAGTAGGAGGAGGGTCTATAGGATATGTACATAAATAATGCTAATCCAGTAATCTAAAAAGATCAAGTGGCGAAATTACAATTTCTTCCCAATTCTGGACCGTGGCCACCTCGCGGGTATGGGGAGGAGGAATAAAACTATCTGATGGAAAGAGAGTAGGAGGAGGGTGCCAGCCAAGATGGAAGCCATCGCTGTCCTCAACCAAAGGCCTGGCAGAACATCTCTGCCTTCCAGGCCCTGCGGAACTGCATACGGTCCTGCAGGGGCCTGATGTTGTTTGGCAGAGAGTTCCACCAGGTTGGGGCTGGGGCTGAAAAGGCCCTGGTTGAGGACAGCTGGATGTCTTTAGGGCCAGGGATCACCAGCACATTGCTGTCCAAGGAGCTTAACACTCTTCTGGGGACATACCAGAGGAGACGGTCCCACAGATACGTCGGTCCCTGACTGCTCAAGGCCTTAAAGGTCAACACCAAAACCTTGAAGTTAACTCAGTACTCCACTGGAAGCCAGTGTAGCTGGTGCAGCACGGGTTGTATATGTGCCGTCTGTGACATTTCCGTCAGGATTTATGCTGCCGCATTCTGGGTCAGCTGGAGCTTCCAGGTCAGTCTCTTGGGCAGGCCAGTGTAGAGTGAGTTACAGTAGTCTAACCTGGAGGTGACTGTTGTATGGATTACCATGGCTACATCAGGGCACAACAGGAAAGGGGCCAATTGCCAAGTCTGACGCAGATGGAAAAACGCTAACCTGGCAATATGTGTGACTTGGGCCTCCATATTCAAGGAGGCATCCAAAATCACACCTAAACTCTTTGACAGACTGTGCCAGGGTCAACAGCACCCTGTCAGTTTGGTGTAGTGGTTAAGTGCGTGGACTCTAATCTGGGAGAACCGGGTTTCATTCCCCATTCCTCCACTTGCAACTGCTGGATGACCTTGGGCAAGCCATACTTCTGACAAGAGCTGTCCTTGAAAGGGCAGTTCTTGAATGAGCTCTCTCAGCCCCACCTACCTCACAGGGTGTCTGTTGTGGGGAGGGGAAGGGAAAGGAGTTTGTAAGCCGCTCTGAGACACCTTTGGGTAGTGAAGGGCTGGGTATAAATCCAATATCTTCTTCTTCAAGAGCGTTGATGCCCCAGGCCTCAAGTCCTCCCTCCTCCAGCCACAGAACCTCTGTCTTTATCGGGTTCAGTCTCAGTCTGCTCTTTTTTTAACTACCACACCATGGTCTCTAGACCCACGGTCAGATTTTGCGGGGTGGAATCTGGGTGGGCATTCAGTAACAGATACAGCTGGCTGTCATCAGCGTACTGTTGACACCCAAGCCCAAAATGCCATGCCAACTGGATGAGGGGGTGCATATTGATGTTAAATAACATCGGTGAGAGAAGTGCCTCCTGATGGACCTCACAAATTAGGAGGTACCCTCTGTCCCCAACCATGGAGAAGTGAGGTAAGCCATTGAAGGGCCACCGCATGGATCCCCTCGTCAGCGAGGCAGTGGGTCAGAAGCTCATAATTGACTGTGTTGAACGCTGCCATAAAATGTAATAATAGCAGCAGTGCCGAATTGCCTTAATCCAGCTGTTTCTCATTTTTGATTTGACAGTAAACTTGTTTCTCTTGGTTTTGATTTGACAGTGCCGAGCACTTGCAAAGCGACTTTCTCTAGCTGAGAAATCTAAAGAATCGTCATCAGAAGACATGAGGCAAGCTAGACAGAGTATCACCAGATTACAGGCAAGACAGTTCAATTTTTGGAGTGGATAGGATCCACTCTGGGGGGGCTCATTATAACCAACTGACACATGTAAACCCATACAGAGCAGTTATATTGGTAGCAATGACTGTTTCAGAATTATAGTGGTTCCTCATGCCATTGAAACACCAGCAGTTCACTTTCTTGGCTGCAAAAAGATGGCATTCTTGGATCATGATTTGCATCTCTCAAAAGGTCTTCATTCGGTGGGCGGGTGTTTCTCCATAGCATTCATTTGCAAAGTTTCCCATGTTTACTTGCTGCCCTCTAAGCTTGCTTGACAGACAGAAAGCTCCATGCAGGAACTAAATGGCAGCTTTTGGAACATACACAGTATTGTGCAGTATGTCCTAGATATCTTCCAACATAAAACTTCTATTCCTATCAATCTGGGCATATTTCCCACCCTTTCAGCAGTTAGCCAAAAGGAGGGATATGTACGCGCTTGAAACAACCATCTCTTATCGTAGTGAATCTCTCACTAGAGTCTCCAGTACAGCTCTGTGGTGGTAGGGGGTGCCGCACTACTTTCCCAATAGGACAGGCCATGTGAATCAGTTCTTGTAAATGACATAATAATGGCTCAGTCAGACTGATCTCTGCCAGCTGAAGTGCTCCTTCATCACTCTCCTGACCCTTTCTAGCAAGCTGTAAAAACCCACTGGGAAAGCCCTACCCCTCAGTGTAGCCTAGTTCATAGGCTTATGATTGCGTCAAACACTGGTCTGAAGGAAGAGTGCACCTGGAATACAGATGCAAGTACTATAAAAAATTGTCCATTGGTCTCTTCTGAAAGCTTGGAGGAGCTCAGCTGAGGATCTCAGGGGTCTCCGATACAGGTACAATAGCGATAGTGCTGCAGCATATCAGATAAGTTCCAGATCATTTCCAGTTTAATATCTAGAGTGATAAGAGGAGATAGTTGCCTCCTGCTGGACCAATCATTGCTCAAGATTTTAAAAAGTCAACACAGCCACTGCCAGTGGATTTCCATGTGCAGGATTTATTACGTTTTTGCCCACCTTTCTTTCAGAGAGTGCAAGGTGTGCATGCAGCTCTCCTCTCCGCCATTTTATCTTCACAAACAGGCTAGACTGGGGGAGTGATTAGGCAAAGTCAAATGTGCAAGTTTAAAGGTGGGGAGGATGTTGGGATTTAAGCCCCAGTTTCCTCCATTCCTTGTTCAGCTGCTATACCACTACACTGGCTTTCAGAAGAGACCTTTTCTTCCTTTCCATCTCTTCTGCAGCCCACTATGCACCCAGAAAGCTGCTCCTGGAGGTTGAGGGAACTGCTGAGAGAGAGCATGGTGTGCAGTTCGGGGAGGGGGTGGGGGCTGCAGCCCAAGGGGAAACCTCCTCATGCAAAGTGGGGGAAGGGCAGTTTCCATGACCTGTCAACGTGCCTTCTTCTCACACAACTTTGGATCCAGTATCTTTTGAACTGAGAAATGTTACATTTTCTGCACTTCTGTCTGTCTTGCATTTTGTGGTACCAGCATGATGTTATACATCTCAGTATTTCATGGTGCTGGGCAAAATTGAACCGCACTGTCTCTCTGACCTTTCAGGATGAGTTGACGACAACCAAGAGAAGCTACGAAGATCAGTTAAGTATGATGAGTGACCACCTCTGCAGTATGAATGAAACCTTATCCAAACAACGGGAAGAAATAGATACACTAAAGCTGGCAAGTAAGGTATGTAGCCTAACTAGCATGGACTGTGGTTTGGGTGTCTAGTACTGCCTCCCTTTTTGGTTGTGTAGTGTGGGTTACAATAAGCGAAAAACACTTCAGTCCAAAGCATTATATAATGCCCCTTTTTTATTGGCGTTAAATGACTGCATGACTTATAGCACATCAAACTCCGAAAGAATATCAAAGAAAAAAACAACAACCCAGTTTTGAATCTGAGTCTCTGAAGGGATGAAACTGTAAAATGTAAATGCTGTGTATTTTTCTCATCATAGCCTGAGTCATAGGCTCCTTCAAGGATAATCTGTATTGTTTCAAGTCTGAAATTCACTGAGAGTTGCCTGCTTCATGCTCCCCCATTTACAACATGACTATTTAGATATAAAGTGGGGGAAGGGAAAGGGCAGAGGGAAAAGAACAGTGTTTGGCCTGTGAATCATGGAAGATATTCCAGGGATGGGTTTGTCTGTGGAATAAGGACTCTGTCCCTCATCACTGCTGCTTAACAATACCCAAATTGTGTAGAGAAGGAAGAAGAGACAGTGTCTGTATCCAGAAGGTTGGGAACAGGAGACTGGGCTGATGGCAGAAAGTATAGAAAAGGTATTTGTGGGTTAAGAGAAGCTGTCCATGTGAAAAAAGATTGGAGAAATTGGCAGAGGCTGCTTAATGAAGAGGGCAGATGTTCTAAGCCCATTCAACTGTTTTGTATCATAATGCAGTTCCTCTAGAAATAAAGCGGCATGGACGACTGTCAGGAAGCTAGTCGTGTAGAACAATCGATTCCCCATCACAGGACTTGTCACATGGAGCTGTTGTGAAGAGAACTTGATAAAAAAAAAAAACTGCTGGGGATAATAAGTGGGAACTCTGATTCTTGGCAAACAAATCATGAGTGAGCATGTGAACAAAATGATGAAACCCCATGAAATACAATATCCTACCTATGTTGTGACAGCTCCCACACCCTCATAGATTCAAAACTGGGTTGTTTTTTCTTTGATAGATTCTTAGCCCTTTGCTTAACCCATTTAATACTCACTTCACCCCTTCCCCAAAGCCTAAGTACTATAACTACATTTACTTGTAATCAGTCCTTGTCACCTTTGTCTTTCCCATCCTCCTATTGCTTCCCCTGCTTTTGAAGCTTAGATTAAGCACTGTTTGTTGAAATAGGAGCCTGTTTGCTTATGGACCTCTCTGTTTGAGAGCCAAGTATGGTGTAGTGGTTAGAGTATCAGACTAGGATCTGAGAGACCCAGGTTTGAATTTCTGCTCTGCCATGGAAATTTGCTGTTGACCTCAGACCAGTCACACACTCTCAGCCTAATGTATCTCATAGGGTTGTTGTGAGGATAAAATGCATGCCACTCTGGGTCCCCACTGGGAAACAGATGAGATGTAAATGAAGTAAGTAAACAATGCAATTCTGCCAAGCCTTATGTATGACATAATAATTGGTGGTAGATTCTAGACATGTAGAATCTCGATGGTATGCTGCTGTGTATTAAAGAATGCATTCTTGCTTTCTGCACTTTAGAGTTAAGACATTCTCTTTTGTGAGGTGATCCTGAATATACACTGTTCTACATTGGATACACACCAGTGAATTGTGAAGATTGTATTACAAGAGAATCTGTCAACATAAAAGCCTTCTTGAAAGAGCAGTTCTTTTCAGAATCAGCCCCACCAACCTCACAGGGTGTCTGTTGTGGAGAGGGGAAGGAAAAGGAGATTGTAAGCCGCTCTGAGACTCCAAGTGAAGGGCGGGGTATAAATCCAATCTCCTCCTCCTCCTCCTTCTTGCTGGATTAGGTTTAAATCCACCTAATCCAGCATTCTTTTAGACAGCCAGTTTAGTGTGGTGGTTAGGAGCGCAGACTCTAATCTGGGAGAACTGGGTTTGATTCCCCACTCCTCCACATGCAGCTGGTGTGACCTTGGGTTAGTCACAAGTTCTGTCACAGCTGTTCTCTCAACAGCAGTCCTTGAAAGAGCTCTCTTAGCCCTACCTACCTCACAGGGTGTCTGTTGTGGGGAGGGGAAGGGAAAGGAGATTGTAAGAAGAAGAGGAGATTGGATTTATACCCCGCCGTTCACTACCCAAAGGTGTCTCAGAGCGGCTTACAAACTCCTTCCCCTCCCACAACAGATACCGTGAGGTAGGTGGGGCTGAGAGAGCTCTTGACAGAAAGTGCTCTTTTTCAAGAACGGCTCTTATCAGAACTATGTCTTGCCCAAGGTCATCCAGCCAGGTGCAATTGGAGGAGTGGGGAATCAAACCTGGTTCTCCCAGATTAGAGTCCGTGCACTTAACCACTACACCAAACTGTTTTGAGATGCTGAGTAAAGGGTATAAATCCAATCTCTTATTCTCTTCTGTTCTTCCTCTGGCAGCCACAATAAATAGGTCTCCTGGAAACGGCCAGTGTTCTGCAGTATACCCTTCCACCCATCCTACGTGCACAGTATTAATTCATGAAATACTTGGAGAAGTTAAAGGGGGTTTTAGTAGTCCCTTTAAAATGTATTTACAGTAATAGACATAATGTAGGCTTCTAAAAATATACTCTTAAGTCAAATTTGTATTTTGAAAAAGAGTTCATTATTTGTTATGGAAGACTGGGGGATGGAGCTGACTAGTTTTTCTGCTGGCAAAAGGAGATGAAACTCCTTTTGACCACCAAAAAACATGAACTGGGGATTGTGGGCCCTATGTAGACCAAAGTTACACAGGATAGAAACCTCAGGGAGAAGGGAACTGGGCAAGTGGAAATGCTGATAGTATCTAGTGCTAAATGTATACACTGGAAATAAATTGTGTAAAGCGATGCATCGGCTGCCTTCCCAGCAGTTGCTGTTGCATCTGAAATCTGGCACTCCCTGACTGTTTTCTCATTCTATCTTCTGGCTTTTAACCAGGACAGCATACTTGTGGTTCCTTAAAACTCTGGAAGCTGTAAGGATTTCTGCCATAGTATCTGTTTTGTGATGGAGTGGAAAGTTTTTGTGGAACCGGCAAGCAGAAATTTTAATCACAAACATGGGGACAATTGACTGCCTTGGGGCTTATCTGCACTGAAACCTCACATAGCTCAAATTTTCACTGTGATGTTTTTCAGGTTTTTTTTAAAAAACAGTCTATTTCTTCAATCACCCTTCAGTAAGAAGCAATTCTTTTGTTGTCTGTGTTTTCATATGCTGTTTGTTTATATCCAGTCTTATTTCTGGACTCAAAATTGCTAACAATGCAACAACAGGTTGCAAGGACCCAAGGAGACGTAGCGGCATGCAAATTAAAAATGCAGCCAAATCTGCCAAAGCAGTTTACCCTCCACCAGATGCCCTCTGGAATAAAACCCTCTTGCATGCCTTCCAGAATCCTGTGAGTGAAGGTGCCCTCCATACTCTGGTAGGCCATTCCAGTGGACTGGGCCTAGCACAGAAAAAGTCTATTGCCATACAGACAATCCTGAGGGAGGCAGGGAGGTTTGTCTGAAGAACATAGTTGTTTTTGTGTGTGTTTTTTAAATGCCCAGCATAGCAGTACCAGGCTATATTTTGGATACTAGACAATTCTGATCAGTTGCTTTTTCTACTTTTATTTTAGGGAAATTCCAAGAAGAATAAGGGTCGATAGTATCTACCAGCCAGCTGTCTTTCAGATCTCGCTGCTGCATGGCGACACAGATGCTGGAAGTGTTCAGTTGGCACATGCCTCCTGACTGCACATGGCTGTAGTGGTGGACTTAGACACTTGTAATTTGGTGTTGTGTATGGAACTGAGACCACACCAGGTTTGGTAGTTGGCATAAAGCAAAACAAACTTGTTATGGTCTACAAAGCAGGTGGGTAACACACACTCCGTGGGTAACTTGCATAGGAATTAACCATAACTTTTTACCACACTTTGTAACTGCTTTTTAATTTCTGTGTACAAACTTCCAAAGTTTTGTATATTTGAGTGGATGTTTGGATAAACAGATCTGGCATCACTATGGTAACTGTTTTCTCTGCCTATGAGGTCACCATTCCAGCCCATCCATTCCTTTCTGTAAGTGTAAAAAAAAGTCAGAGCTATCAATGTTTTTGGCCATGTGAGCTGTGCAGTTATTGTAAAGTGTACTACTAATAGTCTTCTCTTCTAGGTTACCTTAGAATATTGCCTGAGAAAGGCAGTTCATGCAAAATTCACATCAATTAGAATGAGTAAATTAAAAAGTGTACAGTCGTAGTCCCTTGAAATCAGGTGCAGAAAGTTGGCCAAAGAAGGCATTTGTATAAAACTGTGGTGAAGAGAGGTAATTTATCCGTTTTTTTGTTGTTATTGCAAGTCCTCAGTACCTGCTGACAGAAGTGGATGGCAAGATGTGAAGAGGAAACTAAAATGATGAAAATTATTTTTTAGGAAGATCTTTTACATGACAGGAGTTGGGATGGTACTTATGATGGATCCTCTATTTCAAATGAAGGCTGCTATAGTGAATCTGACTAACAAAGTACCAAACTGGACAAAGCTGTGCACTTAAAGGCCAGTTCAGCCATTGATGGGCCAGAAAATAACTTATACATTGTGGGGTTGGGCTTCAGCAATATGCCTGATCTCCACAATGCTATTTTCCTTCTCTTTGACAGTAAAGATTGTGCATAGAGACATATGCACACTTTGAACATCCAGAGAGGCATAATTGCCACACAGATTGCATATATGTATATTCCCGAAACTGTAAAACATTTCCTGCTGCCTGTTTCTTGTGTTGGGCTGTTGGATGTCTGAATTGGCCCCATGGCCTTTTGGAATTATCCCGTGGACATCTTGGGGTTCAAAAATTATTCCCATTCATATTTTCTGTGGGAATCTTGGCTGCACTAACCTAAGGCCTTTTCAACACATTTCTGGGAAGGTTCTCTACCACTCATTCATAAGATGTTCCTTCACTGACTATTTCATATTGAATTACTTCTGTTGCTCCCATAACAGATAGTCCTGTGTTCAAGGGTTTACTCCATTGTATCAACCATGTCAATGTGTATTATGAATACAGAATAAATATACTGCCAAGTTAAATTGTTCTGCCTCAAGAGAATCTTTGTGTTTTCATCTTAACAGCAGATGTGATTTTGAGCAAAAATTGCCTCTGGGCATGTCTGTTCCTCAAGGATTTTAGTCTCCAACATTTAAATCTGTGTTTGGGATAACAGGACTTAAATGTTTTGGCTTTGGCAGGGTGGATTTTATGTTAAAGGGCAGCACATTTTGAAAGATTACCTCACTCCAAGATTAATTTTAACTCCTGCTTTTAAAGGCAAAATCAATCTTAAATTGCCCCAAACCACAAAGGTATCACATGTTAGAATATACATTTATGTGGTTTATTTGGTCTCAGAGCACATAAAAATCAAGGCCACCTAAGGTACTGTATTTAAAAAATGGCAGATTTGTGCAAGTCTGCATTCATTATTGTGCTGTTAATTCCCAAAATCCTTTGTCATCTCTGCTCAGAGCTCGACGGTGATACAGCTGGTAAAGTGGGAGGAGGGAGTGAAAAGCAAAACATCTGGTGGAGCAGAATTTGCGAGGATTGCATTATGTATGGAGACAAAGAATGATTCAGTTTTGGATATCATATGCTGGTTTACATTAGAAAAGGGAATTGTAGATTCTCTGTAGAATATGAATGTTTCTCCAGGGCCATCTGAGGGCACATCTGCAGTGTGGTTTTGAAGAGGGGAGGCGTGCATCAAGACCCACATGTGCTTGCAGTTTTCTCCCAGGCTAGTCTTGCCTGATACACACCCTGGGTGGTACTTGTGGAACTAATACAGGCCATTCAATCTCTATGTTAAGTTATTATCAGTGTTCCCTCTAAGCTGAGTTAGTGTGAGCTAGCTCACAGTTTTTTAGCCTCTAGCTCACACATTTTAGTCTCAGCTCAGGACTCTGTGACTGACCACTGACTTACATTTCCAACCTCCAAGAGCACGTGGACTGGCTTTTGCCTATGTTAGTATGCTAGATCTGATCAAGTAGGACAAGTCTGTTCTGTTGAACATCTTATGAAATGCATACTTAAAAAGGTTACTGATACTCTTCCAAAAGCTTGCCTTGTCCTACTTAGTCTGCAAGTGCTGTACAAGGGAAGTTTCTGTCTGGAGAAGTGATGTTTAAAGTACTTAACAGCTGTCGTATTTGAATGACATGCATAGGTGCATGTGCACACACACCTGGCCTGACTTGTGTAAGCCATCCAAATGTTCTCTAGAAGCAATTGTTGTGGTCTGAAAGTTACACCCTCAGCATTCTCCGCTATACTGTGAGATACTCTAGGGCACATTTACTTTATCTGATGTAGCTGTCTGGACTGACAACATGTCAGCCTGAGAGAGGTGCGTGGAGACAACATTATGCCCATCAGTTTACTAGGGATTACTTAATTCTGCTTTAGAAATGCACTTCCTGCAGGTTTAGTGATACATTTCCCAAACTTTCAAGTAATATAGAACTTGAGAGAGCTCATATTAGGCTTGGAGTCTGTTATTTTGCTTCACTCCCTTGCTTTGTTTACTTTTCTTGTAAGATTCTTAGTTACAGACTGAAATGTATCTGTTCTGTTGAATGTCATTTCATTTTTTAGGTCTTAACCTACTGACCTAAACATTTGAACATGTTAAACAATAATTTAACTTACTTTTAGATGATGTAATATTGTGGCTTTCAATTTAATTCCATGCCTTTATTAATTTTGCACATTATCTTGAGTACAAATTTGCAGAAAAGCAGGATATAAGTTCTCTAAAACAATTAAGACTTAAACTATGGAAACTATTTTTCTCCTCCTAGACCATTATAAACACATGACTGTAATAAATGGAAATAAAAGCACTAGTCCATATGACGTGATTTACAAATATGTAATATGAAACCTGTTAGATTCTTCACATTGCCCAGCAGTTGTATCAAATAATTGCTGTTCCATTTTTTAAAACTCTTGAGGCTGGAGGTATAGCGAGACCTTTCTCTGCCTGAGACTTTTTTACTTTCCTGTGGAATACAGAGAAGAGGCTATATGCACCTGTACTTTTTGAAATACTCTCTAGATACTTTTGAGGAATGAAGGCATTCTTAAATGACATTTTCCTATAAGTACTTGCATTTTAGAATGCACTAAAGTGTAATTTTAACACTCAATATAGCAATTGAAGATGATTTTAAGCACCGGTTTCTAATTTTCATACCGAGTGTGAATAATGTGTTAACAGTAAATGGTGCTTTCATTCAGATCATGTTCATGGAGAATGCTTTTTATATTTCAGTGGTAAAAGCACTCTTTAGAGAGACATTATAATTTCTCAGGTTGCTTCATAATATAGTAAATTAAGAAGTGCAATTATTGTGGTCTTGCCTATTGAAGGAGTTTGGAATTCACTACCCAGTAAATTAGGGGCTGCGGTGGCTCAAGTGGTTAAGACGCTGAACTGCAGGCTGTGGAAGGTCAGTAGTTCAGCAGTTCGAGACCCAGGTGCCGCATGATGGAGTGAGCTCCCATCTCTAGTTCCAGCTCCTGCCAACCTAGCAGTTCGAAAGCAAGAAAATGCAAGTAGATAAATAGGTACCACTTAGGTGGGAAGGTAACAGCGTTCCGTGCCCTTTGGTGTTTAGTTGCAGATTCAAGTTGAAATCCCCACTTGGTCATGGAGCTCACTGAGTGACTTTGAGCCAGTCACTGTTACCCTAATCTACCTCACAGGGTTGGTATGAGGACAAAATGGAGGAAGAGAGAATCCCCTGAGCTTCTTGCAGGAAGGATGGGATAAAAATATATTGGTTCAGATCCTTAGTTTAAAGCAGTGGTACTCCATGGCTCACCATTTACCAAAACAGCCCCATGATTACAGTATGCTCTGTGTGCCACCTCACCAAACATACAAATACAATAACTATTAATATTAAATCTATAACTATAACCTTGTTAATTACCAAAATATCTCTGAGCACATAGGCTTGTCGCTCCGTACTGTGGCTCAAGTGGTTAAGACGCTGAACTGCAGGCATTGGAAGGTCGGTAGTTCAGAAGTTCGAGACCCGAGTGTGCCGCATGATGGAGTGAGCTCCCATCTCTAGTTCCAGCTCCTGCCAACCTAGCAGTTCGAAAGCAAGAAAATGCAAGTAGATAAATTGGTACCACTTCGGTGGGAAGGTAACAGCGTTCTGTGCCCTTTGGTGTTTAGTCATGCCGGCCACATGACCACGGAAACGTCTTTGGACAGCGCTGGCTCTTCGGCTTTGAAACGGAGATGAGCACTGCAACCCTAGAGTCGGATTCGACTGGCTTTCGAGCAAGGGAACCTTTAACCTTTTTACCCAGTAAATTAGGCACTGAAGAAGACTGATAACTGATGTCTGTCTGAAAGGCAAAATTTTAAAAATATTTTTTCAGGATCCTTTATTAATTTTTGTGTGTGATTAGAACAAATATCTTGTGTGTGATACTTTGATCCATGCTTCGTTTTTCCTGATTCACTTTGCTTAAGACGTTCAACATTTCTATTTTATACCTCAACCTTATTGTTCATATTATTCTTTCTTGCACACTAGTAAGTATTTCTTCTGTTTAGACTGTCTTCTCCCTACTATGTTTTCCTATTCCCTGAAATCTTTTGTCTCTCATGCCCAGTTTTGAGAAAATCACCTCTAAAATGTTTCCAGCCAGCTCTCCTTTGGAGCCTAGGCAAGAAAGTTGGCAGGAGATATCTGGGGAAGGGTTGCCCACCCATCCCCTGCAGTAGAGTTGGCACAGATTAAATTGGGGCTGGAAGGAAGACGTGGAAGAGGTGAATTTGATAAATAAGTAAAGTACAGAACTGTCCGCTGTCCTCTTTCACTGCACAATTATCTTAAAATCTCTGGAGGAAAATAATTCTAATAGAGCATCCTGCACAGATGCGTAACAAACAATGCATTCAATCCCACTCAGCCTAGGCTGATGAGAAGTTCAGGATACATTCTAGAAATCTTGCTGTTTCTTTGTACTACTTTTTCTTCTACAGGGTACAATGGAGTGGAGAGTCTTGTACTGGGACAAGATAGTGCTGTCTATGTTAATCAAATTACGAAGTGGAAAGATTGTGACAACTATTGCCCTGAAGCATAGGGGAGGGACTGTGGCTCAGTAGCAGAGCATCTGCTTGGCATGCAGAAGGTATCAGGTTCAATCTCTGGCATCTCCAGTTAAAAGGATGGGCCACTGGCCTGATCCAACATTGGCTTCTCTTATATTCTTATGTTCTTATACTCTCCCCAGTGAACAGCAACAGAGTTCTCTCCTCCTCCTCAACTGCTGACCTCTGTACGCAAACTAATGCATAGGCAAATAGGGTGAAAAGCTAAGGTGTTCAAAGGGACAACTCTGATCAGCCTGGAAAATTTGCAGAGCCAGTATTACTGACCACACATCTTGTTTTTTCCATTAACATACTGTATAGAAATATTGATTTCTAAATGTCTCCTGCATTCTCCTGTGATATCTTTCTGATAACAGGCTATGTCTTGTTTCCTGTTACAAGACAAATGGTGGGCCCCATGGCCTCAATTGCATGCCATAAACCCACATTCTTCACACTTCCATGCTGGAAGCTAGGCCAGCATGCAAAAAGTCACGTAGCCGATGGGGAGACTGGAGTTTGGGGTCACCTGACTGCAGAGGGAGTCTCCGGACATCCAGCCTATCCCCACTTGCATCCATGACAACCAAGAATTGCCCACCCCCCTGTCCACTCGCAGCTGGCTGCCTGGCCACAGCTGATTGTGACTGGAATGGGCCTATAACTGGTCATTCCCAATGGGAGAGAGTTCTCTTCTCTCTTGCTCGCTCTCTGTTCTGTTCCTGCTCTGTGCTGTCTATTGCACCTGGACATGTGGTCTGTTGGAGAACAAAGGCTTGCTTTCTGATTTAAAGCACATGGAGTGCAAAGATGGGATTTCTCCTATTCAAAATCCCTTGGTGTCTACTTGGACTGTATAACTTGGTGCTACTCTTGGACTGTGGATGCTCTTGA